CTGTAATTGGTATCATCGTCTGGATCCTCCTTCCTTCCGTAGTCGAAGTACTTCCTGAAGGCTTCGAACATTTCGTCGTTACAGACGCCACTGGCTTTGAAGACGTGCGGTCTTGACATCCCAGGGAAGGGAATCCCGGCGGCGACGAATGCTTGAGCCACTTCCCTTCTACAGCCGTGTGTCACGTGGTTCAGCGTGACCTTCCAGTGTTCTGTAGAGATAAAGCGAAAATATCATCTTGTGAGTAGTGAGAATCCACGGAGAAGTGACAAGGGGATTCTCTGCCAGAAACTCTCCGCTGACGGCAACTCGTGCAGAGAAAAATTTTTACATGAACATGTTATGAGCATTATCATGTCATATCTACGTATCAGGCTCGGAAGCGCTACCGTTGTGGCATGCTAAATGCAGTGGCTAGTAAGTTTTGGCGCTTTTTCGATTTCACTTCTCAAGTTTCTACACTGGAGAAGAACGAAAAAGCTTTGTGGACTTTGCTAAATGAAGCGGACGACGTAAAGTTAAAGAACGTCTTCAAACTTCATATATATGGTGGTTAGGTATTTCTGATGATTTTTGGATGTATACAAAGGAATTTCATGGACTAAACTGTTGACGTTAGGCATCCGTCGTATTGTACTTACCACCAATATAAATAATAAACATTGTGTTAAAGCTTTAACTACACTTGTACGCGTAGAATATAACATACGTTCTTCTGCCAATCTATCAAACCACCATACTAGATGTTTGGGGTTTTCCTTTTCAGAAACAACTACCCTTGAAATAACAAAGGTAATGTGTAGTGAAACGAGGGCGACCAAGTAAAAAAAGTAAAGGAAAAAGTACTCACTCTCCAGTTGACGAGAAGGGCTAAGTACGTCTCTGCCCGAAATCATACCGGTCCAACAGAAAATGAAATCAGCTGATGCGCTACCGAGCAGACGCAGAAACCACATTGATTGTCTTACACTTAATGGCACATCTTCTAACAAGGAAGGCAAAATGTGGCGCAAAAAGTCTAGATATTGCATCCCGTCCAATCGATTTGGGAGAGTAAATGGTCCAATGAGCATACCGTTCACCATGCCAGCCCAAACATTCACCGAAAATGTTTGTTGAAAATGTGCCCGACGGACAGCGTACGGATTTTCTACTGACCAAACATGAGTGTTGCGAAAGTTATTCACCAATATGCACTTCAAAAAGTCCGGATTATTGTCATGTTGATGCAACAACAACTCACAAAACCGCACTCTTGCTGGAAAATCGTCAGGTTGAAGGGCTTGTACACGTTGGACGTGAAAAGGATACGGCCCCTCTTCACGCAGCGTTTGCCACACTTTAGTTTTCATACTTGCACTTCTCTAGTCACGTCTCTAGTGCTTGTTGAGGGATTCTCGTCTACGCGATTACCTCTACATGCGTGACCGTAACCGTCGGTTGAAGGTTGCCTACTGACCTGACACACTGACCCCGACCCAGTTCTGCCGTCGGGTTGAGACCTTGTACCAATCGGTGATGTCGCGGGTCGCGGCTACAGGACGGTGTTAAGATATTTTTGATGTTGCAGAGCCCTTTATCTCGGTTCCCTGAAGACATTGGTGTATATGGTACTAAGAAAAATTGCTTATGTTTTCAAGATCTACGCGTCGTGTAAAGGAAAACCCCAACTTTGCGGACACCCTGTATATAGAGAGGTTAAGACACCTGGATACTTACTTAATTCGTCAGTGGTCATTCCAGCAGTGTGTGTTCTACTTTTCCGTGCAGATTTCTCTTCTGTGGAACAGAAATTAATAAAAGATAGTAATCAAACGTACTATATACTGTGATACTATGCCTTGTTGCAGTTTTAACAGGAAACAGTCCCAGAATCGTTCTGCCAATCGCACCGTCTATTTGGGTCTAACATTACTTATTATGTATGTAAATGTAAATGTAGCTCAATCATGTAGAATGCAGCTTTTTGCTAATAACACAATTACTTATTTCATTGAAAAATGTGCAACAGAAATAGTAAAACCTTTGAACAGAAAATTTATTTTAGTGGTTGAACAACAATGGTCTACAGTTGAGTGTACAGAAAACAAAATTATAAAAAATTAGCAAAGCGATGCTGGCAAAGTAAACAATGTGGTCATCTACAACCAAACTATATATTATCTAGCCTTCCTCTAAGGAGAGACCGCCTGACTTTGGCGTCCCATCCTAACCGTGTCGAACTTCGTACATCCAAGAAGAGGCTTTAACCAACCTTAGTCAATTCAAGAACCGCACTTAGGCGCGGAACATTAGGATGATATTGACCAATCACAAAGCAGTGAGCCTACAAAGCATGGCCAAACGTCAGCGAAATCCCCATAAAGATTGCAGAAGGTTATGTTGTTATAATTAGCGTATTCCGTTAGAGACACCAAGCAATTCTTTTCCCTTTTATTGTCTCTCAATAAGTAAGCTTGTAAGACAAATACGAGAAGATCGTTTCTTGCATAGGTTTCTAGGATTGACTCTCATTCTAGTTTTAGCTGTTCTATCAGATAAGCCGTGTTCGTCCTGAAATTTAATAATCTCTCATGAAAAAGATAATGTAAGCAAAGTTCTGTTTCCATGTCCAACAAGGTATTAAACTTAAATCAGGAAATAATTTTCACTCATTTCCGATATTTTGTTTTATTAATTTTTGACAGATTTTTCAACACGTCGATTATTGTGTGTCGATCTGTCAAGAAGTAGATCATCATGTTTGTATAAATGAAGCATCTTCTGAGAAACTAATAACGCTAACTTCCGCTGCATGCTGTGCACAGAATTCATGAGTGCGTGTGTGATACCCACCAATTCTGAATTTCTGATTCAAGCAGAATGTTCGACTTATAGGGTTTGTTACCACTAATACTACACAATTCAAACATCGCAGTCAGTGAAAATGCCGATATTTGACATTTTTGTTCACTTGACCAGGCCCTATCACAGCCTTAGCAGGTCGCTGAACCAGTGCTGTCAATTATACTGATTTTCACATCATACAGTATTAGAATTGTATAGTATAGTATACTTTAGGGAGGTTTTCAAGCCGTGAAATAATACCAAGTGCATACTTAAATGTTTATTGCAGTGATAAGTAAATGATAGTTAACACATGTAAAAATGGAAGCGCCTTATCCATGAGTGCTGTTCAGTCTTAAATCAGGAGCTTACCTCGCTTTCTTCGGATGGATCCTTTTTCATTAGCTGCAAAGATAGTATAATATTAAAAATATTGTCTCAGATGACATTATTAGAGAACAAGATGATGGCAGGTTCCTCCAAAGCCTTTGACTTTTACGCTCTAAATTATATTACTATGGCTTCTACAATACAGCATTAAATTTCTTTGAAACATATCTTTCTGAACGTCACCAAGCGGTGCACTTGGATAACCAATACTCTAATCCTTGCCTTGTTACATCTGGTGTTCCTCAAGGCTCTGTACTTGGCCCAATATTGTTTTTACTCTACACAGCTGATATTCATACGGTTATATCTGACTCTCCTCTTTAAACTTACGCCGTTGATACGTCTTTTAGCTTCGAATCTACACATCAAACAATTCGTGAAATTAACATGGATCTTAAGGAAATTGTGAAGTATTCTGCTGTTTTGTTCTTATAGTCTCCGTTCACTGTATACCATTCCTTAGATATATAGATTGATGGAATTTTTACGTTCTAAGGAGCATGTTGCTAATATTTGAAAAAAGATACAGGTATATTGTTCTTAAGCGCCTTTGTTCTAATAAATGTAGGTATATTGAATTTTAAAACTAGTAAAAACCTTTGTGGAGTTTCCTACATTCTCTTACTGCGGTGCCTCGGTGCTGCCACGAGTAACAGGATGCAAAAACTGCAAAACAGTTGTTGTAGATTTGTTTTAGTTTAAAGATGTGCGATCATATTTCATGTTACACTAGCTAGCTAGGTTAGATAAATAATGGACGAAATATAAAATGCTCACTCTTACCTATAAAACATTGATTACGCAATCTCCCGGCTTTATAAAAAGTTTGTAGCTCGCCGAAGTAGGACGGATTTCAACTTCAGATTTAAGAATCGCCTAGAAATCATTCTTTAAAGTACTACAATTTTCCGTCTGTCGCTTATTTACAACTCTATTAAAATATCCAGTCATGCAAGTGAACGTATGAAAACTCTGTCGGTAAATAGTATGAAAAAAGAAGTGTCACCGTGCTCATCCGTGGAATAAAACGTCAGATATCAGTTCACAATCGATTTATTCGTCGTAGAACGGAATGTTATACAATGCGTTAACTACGTCAAAAAAAACAAACTTAAACAAAGTCTCAGGAAACTGTAGGAGTAACCGCGGAAAAACCCCATGGTGTAGTCTTTTCTTCCATGCTAAAGCGGGCGAAGCATTTTCACATACTTCCGTGTTTGTGCTCTTTCACATCATTTTGTAAGTGATGCCTGTTATTTCATCTTCAAAAAGAAGAAGGACATACCAAGAAGGAACTGGAAACGTGACGGTACTAAGTTTCTTATGATCAGTTCAGTAATTTTAGGAAGCTCATTAAGAACCAGATCAGTGCCTACTCTGCTTACGTCCAATCGGTTGAGGATGTCATTGTCAATGATCCTAGCAAATTCTGGTCATTTGCCCATATCAAAAAACAGCAATCTAGAATCCCCCCAAGGATGACGCTTAACGGCAATGTCTGCGATATGCCTCAGGATATAGTGGACAGTTTTGCTACCTTCTTTTCAATAGTTTTTATCCCGTCTGGTCTACTAGGGTCATCTCCTCCAACAAATAATACTAACGATATCATTTCTTTAAAAAATATAAGTGAAGAAAACGTAATTAGGGCTTCGAAAAGATTAAAGAACAAAATGACGTCTGGATGTGATGGTAATCCATGTTTTTTCGTTACCTAAAGATTGCATTCATATACTAGCGAAGCCGCTGGCTTCCATATTTAACCTAATTCTAAAATCACAGACATATCCAAATATCTGGAAGACCTCTAAAATATGTCCTATTCACAAAAGTGGAGATATCTCTGATATTTCCAACTATCGCCAAATAGCAATCTTGTGCAATTTCAGCAAGTTGTTTGAGATCATCGCTTTTGAAGCGGTTTACTGCTCGGTCAGGGGTGCAGTCTCTATTAATCAGCATGGGTTTATGAGAGGCAGATCTACGGTCACCAACTTGGCTCTAATTACTCAGTACATTTCTGAAGTACTGGACGGTCAGGGATAAGTTGATGTCATCTACACAGATATTCAGAAGGCGTTTGATCAAGTTGATCATTATGCACTTCTGGATAAGCTTAAAACAGTGGGTATGTCTGATGCAATGCTGTCGCTCATGAATTCATATTTGAGGGATAGAAGGTTATTTGTCGAATATGGTGGTCATAGGTCGAGTTACTATCGGGCCACGTCCGGGGTACCTCAAGGGTCAAATCTAGGTCCATTATTGTTTTTAATATTTATTAATGACTTGTCTTTTGAACTGAAGTGTTTCCATTTGTTTTTCGCTGATGACCTTAAAATCTGCACGTCAGTCAAGACAGTCGAGGATTGCGTCATGTTGCAAGATGACTTAGCTCTAATTTCGTCATGGTGTTCACGAAACTGTCTCAGTCTGAATGTTTCGAAATGTAAAGTTATGACTTATACAAGAAAAGTTAACTATTTAATTTATGATAATTATAACATCAATGGTCAGGTTATAGACAGATGCACCTGTTATAGAGACCTTGGAGTCATTTTTGATACCAAGCTAACGTTTACTGAGCATATTTTCAATATCTCGTCGGCTGCCACTCGACTACTTGGTTTCTGTATCAGAAACTGGAAGGGTTTCTCCAATGTTGATACATTAATGACTTTATTTTTTACTTTTGTCAGGAGCAAGTTGGAGTATGCGACTCTGATTTGGTCTCCTATATACCAAAATTCTGTCGTGATCCTTGAGGTCATTCAACGTAAAGCTTTAAAGTATTTTCACCTCAAATGTACAGGTTCTTATCCAGAAAGAGGTTGTGACCATAGTGCCCTATTAGAGTTTTTCAATTTGGATTCACTGTCAACAAGACGAAACATATTTGCTTTGTCGTTTTTGTATGGCCTCATTCACAATAAAATTGACTGTCAAAATTTACTTGAAAAAATATGTTTCCGCGTTCCAAGGCTAGGGAGTCGACAACAAACGGCATTCTATTGTCAAGCTGGCCGTACAAATGTTATGACAAAATCGCCAATTAATCTCATGTGCTGCGTCATGAACAGTGTTACTGAATCGTGTGATATTTAAAGTGACAGTTCTGCATCGATTATTAACTGCTATAGATCATCCAATCTTATTTAGAATGTGTGATACTATATATTTAAGTCCAAGAACCATCTCTTTAATTGTTATTTTTTTCAGCGTTTCCTGTAATTGGGTTTCAACTGTTGGAAATAAATAAATAAATAAGGAAAAATAGAAAAAACAAAGAAAAATCCAGAATCAGCGATCGGTATGAACATGTTTTCAGGTGCAGGCGCACAAATAGATTTTACTCAAAAAATTGTCTTGAACAAGCTCCTTTTTAACAACAATTTAGTAAGCCCAAGCAGCGAAGGTTGGGAAATCTCTGCACAAACAGTTTTCAAACTTAAGTTCCGTTGCACTACCTGTGATAAGTCCAAACACACTTATGAAATAATTTAAATGTCTATATTTTTGTAACGCCTGTGGTTTTTGCATCAAAGTGGTTAAAAAGTATTATATTGTCTCAAAAAAATATCCGGTAGACCTGCTGCTGGATGGAATTGAGTGTACAAAATGTGAGGAGCGCACTTTATGAGCAGATAATAACTGAGATGAGGTCAAATAATAATGATCAGGGACTTTTTTATTTCCCTTCCGTCTTTAGTCGCCCCGTAGATTTTCTTTTCTTTGTGACTTTTGTCTAAGATTAGTCAGTTCTGAGCTATAAGCCATTAGGCGTCTGAAAAACCCTAAAAATACTCATCTTCAATGATTAAAGACTCGGTTGAAAATCATTATTTTGTAGGTCCCATGCATCTAATTCAAGACTAAAACCTTCTCCTACAATGCCGAAAGTTTAGTTTATTTTAATGTGATTTTTAAGTTAGTTTGTTAGGCCATAATTGACAAACCTCGTTTGTATTTTCTTATGAAAATGTGTAAATGTGGATTCTCAGAATAAAAAGAATATACACATAATATATATTCCAGTCCTTTCCTATTGAGGTACTTTTTCTATTTTTTTCATTAATGTATATTCAAATGGACCATGCAGTTCCTGAATTTTAAAATCGTGTACATAATAGCATAACAGCAAGAGATACGTTTTGAAATGTACCTTTATCTGTCTAAAATCTGAGATGCAACTCCACTGACATAGCTCGACGACAATGTGCAACGTTGCCAAGACCGTGAATGTTGTCATACAATTACATCATGTTTTAGGTACAAACTCGTCAGTAATTACCCATCAGCGATGGTGCATGTAGGGTAATTAATATTCTCTCGTGACGAATTTCGTGAAAAAATGTATAGTCTATATTGAGCAAAAAGTAACCCGCGTCCATATTGATTAAAAATTAGCACGACGCGCATCAATGCGCTGCTGGTGCATGTGGTGGAACTGTGATCGTTTTTCATTTGTATAGCTATGCCCTATATCCCCACGTAAAAAGAAGACACATTTTAGGTAACGTGTAAATACGTACAGTAGCTAGTGCATGTAGTATTTATTATCAGGCTGGGATTGTTAGATCACAAGAACTGGTTGAGGATTCCAAGAAGCCTGTTAATATCTCATCAGAACCGTTTGTACCTTTCCTAGCACCATCTTCATTTTAACAGTTTATCAATTTTAATAGATAATTGGATTTTCTACAATTTTTTTATGAGGTAGTTTTGTGCTATGTCTCTTCCTTTAAGAGAAATATGACAAACCGTGATATCTTTGATATTGCATCCCAAATTAAACAGGATTTTTTGATATATCAAACAGAATGATATCTCCAAGATATGTACCAATTTTCTGCTTTGCACTTGCAATATTTTTTGCTGTATTTTGTCTAGGCTATGAGAGCAAATAATGATACGTTAACCAACCTGCTGGTTCTGATTTATCAGCAGCCGTTAAAGATGCTCCCTTATTTGAAGCAGGTGCAGGTTTTGCCTCATCTGCAGCTGGTGAAGATGCTGCCTCATCTACAGTTGGTGAAGATGCTGCCCCATCTGCAGCTGGCGAAGATGCTGCCCCATCTGCAGCTGGTGAAGATGTTGCCTCGTCTACAGTTACTGAAGATGCTCCCCCATCCGCAGCTAACGTAGATCCTGGTTGATCTGTAGCTGGTGGAGGTGCGAGCCTATCCGAGGCTGGTACTTCTGTTGGTAGAGATACTTCCTCATCATAACTTATTTCATCTGCAGCAGGTGGAGGTGAAGATGTTCCCTGATCTGCAGATGGTGACGATGCTCCGCCATTGGTAGCTGCTGGAGATGCTCCCTCATCTGCAGATGGAGGAGATGCTTCCTCATCGACAGCTGGTGAAGCTTCTGGTTTGTCTGGAGGTTTTGTAGATGTGCTCTCAACTGCAGCTGGTGAAGCTGCTGCCTCTGGTCCATCTGTAGCTGGGGGTGGTTCTGGTTTGTCTGCAGGTGGTGATGGTCCTGGTCCGTCTGCAGCTGGTGGAGTTACGCCTTCATCTCCAGGCGGTTTTGCTGTGAAAATTTTGTATTTCAGTAATACCTTGTAGAGCTACTGATGGATCAAGACTAGTTTATCCCTATCAATAGAAATAAACCAAAGACGAGATAGGATAGCCAATATGTAGATATAGTTCACTGACTTTCCACTTCATGTCATCAGAATGGAATAAAATAGATCTAGTTTTCTATTGTCAATATCTTTATTTCGTTTCCAACCTCAATGTTCTACGTTCTCCATTTTATTCTGGTAAGCTTCGAAGAAATATATTAAATAGGTTTTCGAATACTGCCACCTGCTGCCTTAGTGCTTGATATGTTGACATATGATTTATTTATTAAAAATCCCCACAGAAAAGCATCTGGGGTCAGCAACAAAAGCAAGAAAAATATACTAAAGTTAAAGTCAAAGCCTTCGCCTAAGTAGAAACCGATATATCAAGCTTTTTCTCGAACACTATATCTATTTATCTGCATTTGTGGTACTTGTTTTCATTATATATCGTAAATAAGTGGATGTATGATAAAATCTGCACCACTTTCCGCACTTGTTAGGTAAATAACTATTAGAGTTGTGTCACATCATGTATTTAACGCGCGAATGACAAAATGATAAAAAAGATAATAAACGTTATATTTTGATTTTTACTTCTGTTTCCAGATATCAATACAAATATTTTTTTGTGAAATAATAGATGATTAAAAATAAGGAATTATTATGCAACGAGCCCTAGATATGGATTGCAAATACTCTACAAGACAAACAACTTGCGGAATCAAGTTGCTATTTACATGAAATTTGCCCGATTTATAATTATTTGTGAAAACTGTTTTAGGTGATTTCGGGCAAACAGCAGGTACGAGTATTTCAAATAATTTTAAATTGAGATGGGATATCAGTAATCGGCAAACTTTATGTAAAATGCAACCTTTCTTCTCTTCTAATGGTACCCTGTCCTCATCTACGACCTGTAGGGTCCACCTTCGTTGCATAATCGTCTTTCTGATTAAAATGAGCTGTACTTCAAGCCGAAGAAGTTTTTACTAATAGACCATAAAAGAAGCGAAAATAAAATGTACAGCACTCGTTACAACACAACACGTATGAACACTTTGTTAGAGCTTAGTTCAATATCATTGTTTTCACGAGATCAGTCCAGGATTGCTTCTTGTTGCAGCATACTGTGAGTACTAATCTATGAAATAACTAAGAAAGGACAATTTTTTAATCATTATTTCTACATTGGTTTTGAAATCTTAGTTGCCGGATGAAGCAATGATTGAATTTTTATTATATAGATTACTCTGTTATTCCTCATACCGTCAAAGACACAGAAATACAAATTTGTATCCTCCGCCATGTTAGCAAATTAGCGGATCGTTGTTTCTTTTAAACAATAAAGATACTTACCACATACTGCCAGGAAGGCTAAGCCGAAGATGAAGGCTATCCGCTGAAAAAATAGTCTACATGAAACATTGTCATGCTTTATTATCACTGACAATATCAGAAAACTATTTGATATTCATGCTCCTTATCGAAATGTTCATGTAACAAAGCCTAAATCACCGTGGCTAACACGAAATTTGCGTCCATTGATAAAAAAAGCGACACAAAGCTCTATCGAAATTTAAGAGGTATAACAACAATGAAAACTGGGAAAGCTATAGAGTCTTAAGAAACCAATGTAAATCAAACAGTATAAAAGAAAACAATCTTGCCTTGAAGCTCTAAGTAACCAAAACAACTCAAAAGATTTTTATAAAGCTTTAAAATCAATGAAGATTCAGGCTTCCAATATTCCAGGTGGAATAGCTGATGTGAGTCTTATCTGTTTTTAACTTGAATGGTTTAGCATGTCGAGATGCAATTAAGCACTATTCGAATTCAAAACCTACTAATCAAACAAGTTTTTATTTAAGAACTCTCAATACACATGGTGTATCGGATGCTGTTAATAAAATAAAAACTAATGCTCCAGTTCCTTGGTTCACATTATAGATTGCTGCGTAGAGACAGGATATTTGTCGCACACTATGGAAATAGTCACTAGTTATGCCACTTCCTAAAACCTACAATCCAGGACAAGTCGGTGACTTGAGACCTGTCAGCCTTTTGTCCATTTCTTTCCAAACTATTGGAGAAAGCAATCTACAAACAAATTTTAGAGCTTACTTGTACTAACAATATACTGCTTGAGGTGCAGGCTTTCGAAAAAAGCTTAGCACTATTGATGTCGAATCTGTTATAGATGATGATATAATCGCCAATTTGGATAACAACCTGGCAATCGTTCTTGTCTCTCTCGATTTTAGTAAGGAATTCGACACAGTAAGCCTACTTTCAGCTAAGCATACTTATCTTGGATTTGATCAATCGGCCCTACATTTCCTAGCATCATATGTTTGGCGGTTCTGGGAACAAGTATTTCAAATTTGCGGAATGTTCCTTCAGGGGTGCCACAAGGTTAACTCCTAGGACCCCTCTGTTTGTTAATATATACATTAGATTTGGATGGCAAATTTAAAAACTTGAGGGTAATTTGTTATGTTCATGATACTCATTTATTGTTAAGCTTTCAATTCCAAAATCACTAAGGCTAAAATTAATATTGATATCGAAAGTATTTATAACTCTTCTGCTATTAGTCATGTGTGCAAAATTTTAGGTCTAATCACAGCGTCATCAAAATATGCTGTTTAGGCTGTAACTATTATATGCCAATAGGTAATTCCTCAGCTTTTTTAAGAAAAGCGATTATACGAGTAATTGATGATTTCCAACGTTTTTTGTGGAATCATTATCATCAACAATCGAAGGAAATATGATCATGTAACTGATCCAATCAAAGGTTTAGGATGTCTCAAAATTAATAACCTATTCAAATATTTATTTTTACCATTTATAAAATTTATTATAACCACTCATTCACCACTACGTTTATGGAACAAGCTAGCATTTCGACAAGCATTCGTGATATAAATTCAAGGTATATGAGAACATTATCCATAATAAGCCATCGCACAACCAGGTTCAGCGTTCGTACTAATATAACGCCGGCAAATGTTATAATGCTTTGAACATCAATATTAGGAATACAGAAAATCATCACAAGTTTATGTCACTATTAAAACAAAATATTTCAAGCACACAGTAACACAGAAATTTTGGTAGCAGTTGCATATATTTTATGTACACTAACATCGACGTTTTGGAAGTATTTAATACTTTATCAAGTATCAAGTAAGAAATTATTATAGTCTATAGTACTCGTATATATTTAATTTAGACTTTCTTATATATTTCCAAATATTGGTTGAGTACATTGACCAATGGCTAGACTCCGCCATTTAAATCACACTTTTTAATATTATGATGTGATGTTAATGATGCAACAAGGTCATATTATTGTTAAGTTATTTTTTATATATTTTTGAAATGATTTTATCCACCACTTTCTACTTTCACTATAGTCCGGATAGCCAAGTTTGCAGGCAGATGATTTGTATTCCACACACTTTCATTCAAGATTTTATGCTGACATAGGTCTTGTAGTTCTTATTCATAATTTCGTATTTCTACCTGCTCTTACCTCCATTAAAATATTTATCAAAAATATATACGAGTAATTAACAATATTTTCATCAAGAACGTTGGAGCTTCTCATGAAATCCTCTGTCTTTCCCTTTTGCTGTTTTCGATTTTACGTCACTAAATATTATCAACTCTTATGAGAGAAGCGACTTTCCACCTAAGGGCACTTCTAAGCGCGAATTAAATGGATTACAAAGAGTACTTACCATTTTGACGGAAAAGCAATGTTGGTCGCTGTAAAACCAATCTACTAATTACGCGTTATCGAAGCTCTCCTTATTTATACACTTTAGGAATATTTTGAGTCACGGCATTGCTCATTGTTACTCGAACAATGGCACATTCTGTTGATAGTGGAGTTATATGATTTCATCGCCCAGTTATAAGTCAAAATAACGGTTTCTGTCCATTTTTTATTGCAATTAGGCTCGATTTTACGTTATTTATTGCTGTACTTTACTGTCATTTACTTTCGGAAAGATATTGTTCTCGGAACACGTGTCCGTGAGTAACGACGCATTCTACATGACTCTAACAGTGATGTGGACGTTCAGCGATCTGTCTGAGCAGTAGGACAATCCTGTATGCAGCAAGTCATGCTGAACCCACCCAACATTACAATAATACAGCGGATTCTGCTGGGCTAGCAGTTGAGGTCTTTCCATAAAACGTTCTGCACTACGCCTGACCTTTGCATTGCAGCATCCTCATAGTCCAGGAGAGGGCCGCTGTGGATGCCTATATATATATACGTGTATGGTAGTTTTTATACTAATTCAAACCCAGGTCCGCAACAAAGGTAAGATCATTTTATACAGGATATTCAAGAAGTTCCTGATCTCCCCCCCTCTCATCTCAGGGAATACTGATCGGATAAAAAAAGCGTGTTAAAAAATACTCAATCTTTATTGCAATGAGTTTTCTATGATTTTTGAGTAATTAGTTGAAGTCTAGAGGATCACATTTTTTTGGTATAAGAATGATAGTAGCTAATTTTGATGCAGATGGAAAAGTACCTTATTACTAAAGCATTGATTAGCTCAGCAAGTATTGGTGCAATAATATCACCATTATCTTTAATTAGTGAAACGGGAATCTCATCGGATCAGGTATTTTTTTTATTAGATATGTTGTTGATTACTTAAATGTCGCCACTGGTGATAACAGGATTGAAATCATGGTGCTGGTGTTGTTATAAGCCGTATTACACTCATTGGATATATTAAAGAAACTCGATGACATCTTTTTTCATTGTCAGTAGATAAGTATTCACCAGAGATACAGTCAATGTTATCGTTTCTGCATTAATCTCCTCTATGCGAATTGACAATATTCCATATCGTTTTGTTTTTATTGTATGAGTTGTTAATCAAGTTTCCATATTAGTACTTTTTCCCGTTGTGATGTTACGATTTGAGGCATTTGTACTTACATTAGATTTTGACATTATGAATACGTTTTCGAAACCAGTGCATGTTTTTAGATTCTGCGAGAAACATTTTTCTATTAGCTTTTTTCGTCACATCAATGGATTTGAGTTGAAAAGTAACTTGGAAATACCACCAGAAATTTCGTAAATATTTGTGAAAGCCTTCGTACACGTCATCCGACAATTTGGGTTCCTTTAACAATATCAATCAGTAACATCCTAAATTTATTTATTGACAGATGGTTTGTTTATATTCCTATATGTGAACTTAGACAGCCTACAAGCAGGAAGGTTGAAACAAGAGAAACATTCCGTAATCTGGACATGGTGATTGAAAAATAACTAGTGTAGAAATACGTGGATGCTCTGTTAGTAAAGATACAGTGTTTCTTTTCCTGCTGTTTGATATATACTAAGTGACATATAAATCCGAACACCCAGTTTAAATGGTTTTATTTTAATAAAAGTTGGTGAATGTATTTATCTTACAGTAAATAACAAGTGAAAAAATTTTCAGCCTTATCAGTTGGACATTCCGGTTTTTATACTGCTTTTTTTTTAATTCACGAACGCTCTAAAAATGAATATTTCAGCCGCAGTAAAGAATCAACGTTGGCGGATTTTGGTTCTTGACATCCTTTACGATCGGTTACGATGCGTAGAGTACGGAGACCTGTACGATTTCGTCAACTTCGTGAGTTTGATAGGGGCCGTATAGTGGGACTTCGAGAAGCTGGACTTTCTTTTAGGGCAATTGCAGTTAGAGTGCAAAGAAGTGTAGACACTGTGGTTAGGTGTTCTCAGGCATGGCTTCGAGAAGGCCGTACTCAAAGAGCAAGGGGCAGTGGACGCCGCCGTAGAACAACAGACCGTGAAGATCGCCGCCTAAGATTATGGGCCTTAAGGGACCGTTTCTCCACTACCAGGTCCATTGCAAATGAATGGTTTACAGAACACGGAAGACCTATTGGCATGCGAAGTGTTTACTGACGAATGAGAAGTTTTGGCTTGTTTTCATACCGGCCACACTGGGTCCTCCCTTTAACTCGAGAACACCGACGTAATCGCCTTGAGTGGTGCAGACAATGGTCACTCTGGGATCAGGAATGGAACAGTATTGTCTTTAGTGACGAGTCTCGATTTTGTTTAGGCATGCACGATGGTCGTGCCAGGGTTAGAAGGCGACGTGGTGAAAGGAGGAATCCACAGTTTTTTGTTGAAAGACATGTTCATCACACTGTTGTAGTTATGGTTTGGGGTGCTATAGCTTATGCTTCCAGGTCACCTTTAATCTTCATCAGAGGTAACACGAACGCGCAGCGTTATATCCACGAAGTTCTAGAACCCCACCTTTTACCCTATCTTGACACCCTGGCAGATCCAACTTTCCAACAAGATAATGCCCGACCACATGTTGCAAGAGTCACAACAGACTTCTTTCAACATAATGATGTCACATTAGTACCATGGCCACCAAGATCTCCTGACTTATCCCAATTGAGCACGTGTGGGATATGATGGGTAGGAGATTGCTCAATTTGCAACGTCCTCCTCAGACTCTAGAAGCACTTCGAGAGGAGTTGGTGGTTGCCTGGAATGAGATACCACAGGAGGACATTGACCACCTGATCAGAAGCATGTCTAGGCGCGTTGGAGAATGCGTAGCACATCAGGGTGCATCCACACATTTATTAAAGGTCAAAGGGCTTTAAAGCAGTGCAATCATTTTGAAATTTTTATCATTTACTTATTATGCTTCATTAAGTACTTATACAAAATTTTATTAAAATAAAACCATTTAAACTGGGTGTTCGGATTTATATGTCGCTTAGTATAGTTTCTTAGGTAAGGGGTGTCAAGGTCTTTGTGAAGTGTCTTAATGGGGACATGCAATGAAGCGTTAGGTACTGTCCTACAAATCCTGAAGACAATACGTATGTCTACCAGCTTTACATAAATTTTGGCCTGGCTCCCTTTTCAGTGTCTACGTATCACCGGTTGGAGAACATTTTGTTCTATTAATTGAATAGTAAAGCATTTTCCAGGCGAGCCGTTGTATCAACGCACTGATGATTTAGTCCATAAATATTTTACAATGTCTCACAAAACCGCCCAGGTGTGTCCCGTACATTATAGTTGACTCGTCATTGAATGATTAACAATAGCGGTTCGTAAAGCAAATACTTCAATTGACATCCAACGAAACATGGAACACATACCATTGGACAAACATACACTTCGGATTCGTTAAATACTATACCAGAATGACGACATTCTTTCGCTACTGTGCTGGGTTGGCAGAAAAACAATATTTTGCTCACCGTGTTTTAAGCCGCCCCCGCGAGATGGGGAATGTATCCTCACGTTAGAAAGGAAAAACTAAGCGGGACCAATTTTTCTCGGAAAGTTGGCAGCCGATCGTTTATTAAAAACAACCCCAGCGACGTAGGTACCCTCGAAGGAGAAAGAAGGCAAAAACAAGAGATAATCAGTTTTTTGCATACTGCGCTGGGTTCGCAAAGAATTAGCTGCTGATTGTTTTTTAAAAAACAATACTAGTGCCTACCGCGTTTTCGTTCACACCCGCAAGGTGATGTATCGTAGCCTCATGGTAAAAGAGAAAAAGCGTACGAAGGCAAAATATAATTATTTTTTCTTGCATAGTGCCTCAGGTTGGCAGAAAGTTGTCTAGTAAAACTTTATTTTCAGAAATGAAGTCGCTTTCCTTTTATATTTTCTAAGTACGTGAAGAGAAAAACAAGGGTAGATCTTTTCCTATTAAAACTAGTTGGTTCATGCAAGACCTATTCAAAAAAGATGTCGACATAAAGGCAATAAAAGAAATTAGAGTTAATGCTATTTTTAGGACATATCAACCTTCAAATCATCTGATAGAATATCAAACCATGAAAACTAGTAATATACTGACTTATACTAAGTGACATATAAATCCGAACACCCAGTTTAAATGGTTTTATTTTAATTAGATTTTGTATAAGTTTCAAAATGATTGCACTGCTTTAAAGAACTTTGACCTTTAATAATGTGTGGATACACCCTGATGTGCTACGCATTCTCCAACGCGCCTAGGCATGCTTCTGATCAGGTGGTCAATGTCCTCCTGTGGTATCTCATTCCAGGCAACCACCAACTCCTCTCGAAGTGCTTCTAGAGTCTGAGGAGGACGTTGCAAATTGAGCAATCTCTTACCCATCATATCCCACACGTGCTCAATTGGAGATAAGTCGGGAGATCTTGGTGGCCATGGTAACAATGTGACATCATTACGTTAAACGAAGTCTATTGTGACTCTTGCAACATGTGGTCGGGCATTATCTTGTTGGAAAGTTGGATCTGCCAGGGTGTCAAGATAGGGTAAAAGATGGGGTTCTAGAACTTCGTGGATATAACGCTGCGCGTTCATGTTACCTCTGATGAAGATTAAAGGTGACCTGGAATCATAAGCTATAGCACAACAAACCATAACTCCAACAGTGTGATGAACATGCCTTTCAACAAAAAACTGTGGATTCCTCCTTTCACCACGTCGCCTTCTAACCCTGGCACGATCATCGTGCATGCCTAAACAAAATCGAAACTCGTCACTAAAGACAATACTGTTCCATTCCTGATCCCAGAGTGACCGTTGTCTGCACCACTCAAGGCGATTACGTCGGTGTTCTCGAGTTAAAGGGAGGACCCAGTGTGGCCGGTATGAAAACAAGACAAAACTTCTCATTCGTCGGTAAACACTTCGCATGCCAATAGGTCTTCCGTGTTCTGCAAACCATTCATTTGCAATGGACCTGGTAGTGGAGAAACGGTCCCTTAAGGCCAATAATCTTAGGCGGCGATCTTCATGGTCTGTTGTTCTACGGCGGCGTCCAGTGCCCCTTGCTCTTTGCGTACGGCCTTCTCGAAGCCATGCCTGACAACACCTAACCACAGTGTCTACTCTTATTTGCACTCTAACTGCAATTGCCCGAAAGTCCAGCTTCCCGAAGTCCCACTATACGGCCCCTATCAAACTCACTAAGTTGACGAAATCGTACAGGTCTCCGTACTCTAGGCATCGTAACCGATCGTAAAGGATGTCAAGAACCAAAATCCGCCAACGTTGATTCTTTACTGCGGCTGAAATATTCATTTTTAGAGCATTAGTGAATTAAAAAAAGCAGTATAAAAACCGGAATGTCCAACTGATAAGGCTGAAAATTTTTTCACTTGTTATTTACAGTAAGATAAATACATTCACCAACTTTTATTAAAATAAAACCATTTAAACTGAGTGTTCGGATTTATATGTCACTTAGTGTATGTTGCAGTCTGCTGTTTTGATTGCTGTAAACTGATAATTAATGATGATCCACTATTATGATGTAATGAAATGTATTGGTTGGGATACATTTTATATCGTTTTTTCTCGCAAAATAAAGAGAGATTTGCTCATCTCCAAAGATATGTAGGTATATTGAAGAGTCTATGTGTAAAGATAAACAAGTTCGAGATTTTCGAGTAATGGTAGATATCCAAAACGTACTACTAAATTTAATAGATATATAATCAATCAATTGTGTCTCTGATTCTCGTTGGTCGCATCCACCGTCACTTAAAATTTAATCAGGATTAGTGAAATGAATGAAAGTTATCCCGATTTTTATGCACAAGAACATGATATTAGATTCCGATTTTAAAGGTTTGACATGTTTGCATCAAATTACTTTTTAATAAGGTATTTCTTCATCGGTGGAACTGACTGTTAAATTTGAATGTTATTACAATTCACTATTACGTTATTCATGCACCAATTTATTTTTCCGAATGGCAAGTTGCCACATTGACCTGTTCGGAAAATAAATGGGGGTTTCTCAAGAAAATCTCTGAATAAAGGCGGAATTAATTTTATAATGTTCAACAGAGGTATCATAATACAAACGGACATAAGTATGTTGCGAGATTTTATCTTATAGCCCAAAGGAATGCGGTGGTGATTTCTTTACAATACAAAGCCCACTTCCCATCCACTAAAAATCATAAATAGTCTATAGCAAACATGCGTGTGTATCTAATACGTTCTCGTAGCAACCTGCCGTCCAACCTAACAGCAGCGATATATTTTCACAGCTCTGGCAAGGATCTTCTTGCAAAAATTGAACAACGGGTACCACCCACCCTTACGTAGGCAGTAGGAAACTATACAACTGCATTTCACGGTATCCCTGTCTACTTCTCTGCAGCCAGACGAGAAACACCCACTACATAGAATTCTTCTTTCCTCTGGAGCACATACCCATTTAACATCTTTCAATTATTCCAGGGTTCCAAGAACGTTTATACAGTATTCCTTGGACAGCATCGTATGACAATGCGTTCTTAAAACAGCTATACTAGATGAATAATCACACCTAGAGGGACACTTCAGTCACTCTAGGGGTTGTATAAGGGCTGCTCCTGCAGCAACATAACGTGTTTGTACTTGCATCCGCTTTAGAACCCCTGTGTCGGTGCAAGATTCAATTTCAACTACGCAACCATTCGGCCAGGAGAAGAATATTTTCAAATTAAATCTTTACTGTCATTATGAATTTCATACTTAGGCGGTAACATTTTGCGCTGTGAATAACTTGCACGACAAGGTTTATTGTGATTATCGGACAAAGTAGTGACGCAATTTCTACTGGCTCCGAATTTCACTTATGTTTTGATAATGTCAAGACCTTTAACATAAAAATCCGAACTTATCTGCTTTAACTCCGGTATTTATATATAATTAAAATTTCCTTTTATGCATAATCATACTATATACTATTCGTCATTGTTCGTCAGAGCGGTCCGGTGGACCTTACTCTTAGTTAAACGTGTCGTCGGTCTGTTAGTCTGTCAGGTCTGGCTACCCAAATACCAAACTTGTTTAAGGGGAAAAGGGAAAGAAAGAAAGAACGGAAGGAAGAAATAGAGCCAAGAAATAGCTTAAGCATTACTGCTTTGACTACTCGAATAATTTTGATCGGTTTTGTATACTGAAATGATTTTGGCTGGTCTGAATTCACAATTTAATTTTGATCAGTGCGAGGCGCGGCCTGGAATGTTTGCGAACTAGCTCGACTGTGTAGTCTACTGAACCACGCAACAGAGGGTTACTGTGCGATTCGGCTTGATTATAACGCCACTGTGCCTGTTGTTTTACATAATCCATTAGATATGGAATATCAAGATCTCTGTGAATGGTCTCATTTGACACGTACCAAGGGGCGTTAGTTATTGTGCGTAAGGTTCTGTTTAGCAGGACTTGCACTCCCTGCATGTGCGTCTTGGCAAAAAAACATCAAGCCGCGCATGCGTAGGTGATTGCGGGTCTTATGACCATTTTATACAACCGAACCTTGTTGATCAAACTTAATCTTCAATTTCTGCACAACAAAGGATAAAGCTGCCGAAAGGTAATTTGGAATTTTGTTTTCGAAATATCAGTATGTTTCTGTCAGGTCAACTCCCTCCAACGTACCTGACAGATACTTCCATGGTATACGAGTTCCATTCACTGATATCTCTGAGGGGGGACCGCGACGTTTTTTAGTAAAATAAATTGCCTGCATTTCCGAAGTATTAATTTTGATCAACCACCGATCCGCCCACTCCAATACTTCCTCCACCGCACTCTGCAGCCTGCCGTGAACCAGACTACCAGAACAAGACTGAGCTAGCGGTGCAGTGTCATCAGCATAGTGATAGACTTCACAGTTGCTGGAGCAAGGGACGTCATGTATATAAAGTGAATAAAGGATGGGTCCTAAGACCGAACCCTGAGTAACACCGGCTCTTACTGGCCGTGTTGTTGACAACACATTGTTAATTTTGAACCGAAACTTCCTTCCTCCCAGAAAAGATTTCAACAGTTTTAGTAGCCAAAATGGAAAACCCTTTTGGATGAGCTTATACAAGAGGCCCATGTGCCAAATGTCTTTAATACATCTAAAGGCAAGATACCAGTACTTTTGTTCAGGGTAAACCCTCTGGTTACATGCTCAACCAGTCTAACTGCCTGCAGCTCCGTACTATTCTCAGACCGAAAGCCGAATTGCACGTCAGGAATCACATGCTGACCTGACGAGAAATTCTCAAAGTGACGATAAATCACGTTTTCAAAGATGGTAATCCTGGGGGAATATCGAACCTACCTTCTTTGGGATCATGATGACTTCAGCGATCTTCCGCGCCTTAGGAAGGTAATGAGTTCTGAGCAGTGCATTGATTATTGCCACAAGATAAGTCAAAGCCTTGAGCGAAAGTAACGTCAGTGCTTTGTTGGTGATTTGTTCCTCTCCAGGTGTTTTACGCACCTTTAGGTCCTTAATGTGGCCTTGGAGCTCTGCTGGTGTGCAAAACGGAATCTCACAGGATTCCGTTGATGTGCTATGCTGAGATTTATCTGAAGAGTCTTTCGTAGAAGAATCTTCTAAAAAGGAGTCACCGATGTTAGCACTGATGTTGCTGTAGCCATTCGCTTTGAAATATCTCCTGACATATCCTACAATTGTTTTTCCTCGTCAGGGTCATTGTACAGATCATAATTGAGAGAGAACTGCCTTTCCATGACGTCAGCAAAAACCTCCACTTTATCCTCAGTCCTGAAAACGAATGCATAATCATCACATCTTCCATTATTTTCTTTAGTTTGTTAGAACATTTTGAAGTGAGATATGGGCAGAGTAGAATGCCTTATTCATAGTTGATACCAAATCTATACTTTCTGTTTGAAAGGTTGATAGGGCCTTTACAACGAATATTCAAGCATAACTTGTCTTGAAGAAGAACCATATTTAATCTAAAAGGATGGCAGTAGAAACTTAGGTTATGGTATTTATCCCCAGCACACCGATTTTGTACTATAAAACTTGTAATATTGTTGTCTTTAACAGTTACCAAAGGACAATTGTATAAATGCTTACGTTGCGTTGGGACCAACTCGTTAGCTAAAGTAGTATTTTTGCATACCAAAACAACAACGCTCAGCTTTGTTGTATAAATGTTACAACGGATGACAGAACACAACTGTTTTGACTACCCAGCTAATATTATGTCGTATGAAATATGATAGTTGTATAACCGTCCATGCAACAGTTCAAAGTTTATACTTTAAGGTGTTGTACAAATATGCTACAAGAATGTTCCCTATCTTACAGCGAATGCGCTGCAGGAAGCAAATTTTGCATTTTACACATCATTAAGCCAGTATTTTGCTGTTCAGGCAACAACAAAAGAGAGCCCTTACGGCTTGAAAATTGAAGACACGAGTGGATAACGGTGCCACGTAACGGAATCATTTAATGGAGAAAACTGACTTTAAACATTTTTTATTATGTTATTGACATTTTAAATATTTAGTTTATTTAGTTTGTTATTATCTTGTTTTTGCAAGAGACTAATCACAGAATGAACGAATAACTCCTCAAGGTTAATTTAATACAATAAAGGAATTAAAAAAATATGTTAGATGACGTCTTTGTCTTCAGCCTGTTTAACAAAAACTTATTGCACTACTAGCAAGTTCATCTATTGAAATACCAATGTCTCAGTATTTCTGAAATAAACTTGTGGAAAGTTGTCCTAGCTGCTGGGCTAGCAAAACGTTGTGTAAGAAAACCCAATGTTTAGTTGTCAAACACACATTTTATTGAACAAAACATTATAACAATTCCTGTCCATCACAGCTTTTATGGTTTCTTGGCGGCTGCAGCTAATGCAGGCGCGGCTGCAGCTAATGCGGGCGCAGCTGCAGCAGCTGCGGCGGCAGGAGCAGCAACAGCGGCAGTACCAGCTACTGCAAGGGAGAAAACAGTGTCACTAGTTGTGTACAACTCACTGTCTATGCTAAATTGCTCATATAAACAACTAACAATTCATGTTAATGGCCTAACAACGTTAACAGAACTATTTTTATAAAATAACAGTGTCGCTACTAACATCCCAACAACGCTTATAAACTCAAAACGAACGCACTCCTGAGCAGCAATGTTGTTCTTTAATTTGTTTTATTACAGCTCCGACAGCTTTTACCTGATAATGTCTAAGCATTTTTAAGCTTATTGATAAACCTATTTTGCAACATTTATGAAAGGGTTTTATTGAAAACAGTTATAGAGCTAGAATAATAAGGTTTTATAGAAGTTGTTTTTTTATCATGTACGCAGCTTTTCTGTTTGCTTTTGTTGTTAAAGTGTACCCTGTGGGAATAGTTCGATTTTAAAGATCCTTGATATAATAAAAAGGCAAACTTAGCAAATTGAATATGTTTGAGTAACTACATCAGCCGTAATGTATTTTGTTCTGATATATACGCTCAATACCAAACAAGCAGAAAATTGATTTGTAATCTGATGGTTATCGTATTGAAGGAGCCGCGCAGGCGGAATTTTGTTAATCCGATTTTTGAACTGCCTAAGGTTAGTAGAACTGGAAAAAGCTTCATTCTGTAGATTTCTCCACAATATAGACACCCTAAGGGACAAAAGAGCGGCCGTATCGTATACTAGGTTCGTTGAACGTTAGGATAGGAAGCCAAAGTCAGGTGGGTCTGCCTGGCAGGCATATCGCTCAACGACATCATGGAAGAGAGCTCTGAAGAGCAAAGCCCGTTGGGGGATGAAGATGAGAACCCATCAATTACGATGGAAATATCGCGGCCAAAGAAAAGTCAACCACCCATCTGCAAAGCTTTTCTTTGGCCTTTGATCCTGTTATAATCGTTCCATCCTGACACGTAAGTGGTGGAAGGCTATTGTACGAAAAGTTCCTTTCACTCTGGTTGGCCAGCATCCAAAAAGATCGACTGCCATTGCGCAGCAACATTACCCTGTGCCTAACCTGTACATCGTGCTGTTCTTTGGCATTGCGAACTGCTTGGTTATAGTTGTTTCTGGACTCCATGCCGGCTTGTCTCTTCTCTACAGTGGGGTTTTGTAAAGAGCTTCTGTGTGCCTTGATCTTCTGCTGGCGAGCAGTGGCACATAATTTGTTGAACCAGCCGTTGGACACCGGCTTAGGCACTTTCACTGTGTGAGGGATGTATTCCGCCATCCTGACGTGGATAATTTCGGTTATCGAAGACGAGGCAGCTGCTACAGCGACCCGAAATCTAACCTCCATAGCACTGTGATCTAAGTTGCTCAGGGAGGACAGGACATCAGTGTTATAGATGATAGGATGCGTGGTCAGAAAGAGATCTAGCAAGGTCCTGGCGTGTGACGAGACGCGGGGGAATCAGGTGGGGTTCGTAACCAGCTGAGTCAGCCCTTCAGTAAAAGCGAACGCTTCAACTGCACGACCTGCTACATCGGTCTTGTTTGAGCCCAACCAAAGCTCATTATCGGCATTGAAATCACCGAGGAGAACTACCTCTTAAACAAGGTGATTGATGTTGAGGAAGTTGATCTTGACGGCGAGGTATCCAAGTAGGTTATTCCAATTATGGTCCGAGGGAGAGCGATAGAGGCAGCAAATAACTTTGGGAGATGTTCTGGGGTTAAGGCGAACCCACAGAATATCATTCTGGTTTGATTCCAAAGAAACATCTCTGGAGCAGAAAAGGCTGCTACGGACAACAGCCACAACTCTCCGTTCTTTCACAGATTGGAGTACACCTGGACATTCCCAGAGTGGATTGAGTTTACTGCGAGAGATCCATCGTCATTAATTTCTTTGTTGAGACAGATAACCGGCTGCGTAGCTTCGGTATGGAAACATTCATATAAGACACCCTGGGAAAAGCTAGTGGGTGGCACCCCTTGGTCCACTGGTCCTTGTCTACCACCTTCTTTTTGCGAGTTAATGATGTTCAATCGACCTAAGGTGACCCGTTGGGGCTGTCTTGTTCGGGTCAGCGCCCCTAGACCGGCTGCCTTCGCCACAGCTCAAGGAGCCCGGTCTATCCCTTGACAGCCGCCCACGTTGGGACAGACGCTGTCAAAATCCTCTCGCAATATGATCGGCCATCAGGATTGGTTACCCGATTTTGCTCAATCATCCCGAAGAGACCCTGGCCACTTATTCCGGTAATCATCGGTCGCCATTTCCTCGTCAGTTATATAATAATAACCTATTGATTATGAAGATATTCTAGAATTATAAGCTTTTGGATAGCGTAGTCACCAAAGAAGTCTTGCGAATTTTCTTAGAAGCCCAACACGGGTAATCTTTATCATTATGATTGGAGAGTTACTATGTGATAGAAAATGCACAAAATTAGAAAAAACACATATGAGACTTCTGAGACCCTTTAGGTATGAGTGAATCAGGAATACCTCAAACACTTCCACGAAATAACCGGTAGCTAGACCTATGTTCGATTCTAACATTTCCAGGGTAGTTACCTAATGAATACTAATGTATTAAATATAACTTACGAGCTTTTTCTGCTTTGTCTTTCACATCTGTAAAAGGAATAAGAAACGTATTAGTGTTGACACATGACTAATGTGTGGAATGGTTTGTCGGTGAAAATCGTCAAGAACAATGCAAGTTTTTTTTTGCAACAACTAGAATACTATTTAAGAACTGACATTTTATCGGATTTTCCTTTAGTAAAAAAGAGACGCATATCCTTTTTCTTCACCCGACCCATATTCTTCTTAAGTATAATTTCGACCAGCTGCTCGTCAAACCCTTCGACAAATAGTGAAAAGATGACTCAGTGATCAAACTAAAGAACAAATAGAGAGCTAGCTGTCAAGGCGAAATAACTGTGTGTTGGCATCAGTTCTTAGCTTTAGGTGTCAAAATCAAAGAACGAATGCGAGAATATGAGAAATGCAACCGTTTCTTACTTGCAATTTTTTTCAAAATGGTTTTCCGTTCTAGTTCTCTAAGCGAAACTCTTACAAAAAGATGTTTTGTGGTAAATGTGTGTCGCTTTTTATAATAGATATAATCCTGAAACCAAGCCAACATCAGACAATGAATTAATGAAAACAATCCTTAGAAAACCTTTAAATACGGATCATCCTCAACTTGCTTAAATTAACTTTAGAACAAGTAGTTTCACCCTCTCTCCCTACGCAATACTGTCACCAGTTCGTAAAATATTACGTTTGAAACAAGTTAGCCCTTCTTAAAAAAAAGTCCATAGGCAACAACATTATTTTCGAATTGCTTGATGACAAGCATTAAAATGAAGTATATATTTAATGCACAACAATAAGTCATGAATTTTACAGCTTTCGAAATTTTACACCCGAGAAAGCAGCAGTTTAAAAAAAGTTTGTTGGACTCACTAAAAGGGAGCTCTATGCAAACCTTTTTGTGATCACCTCTTACCGCAAACTACAAATTGTTGCATTTTGATGAATTTAAATCACCGCGCTTTTATTTTATTTTTTATACTGTAGTCGCTTCCGTCCTCCAATTTTGATAAAAAAATGTCCACGGCCCATTCATGACCTTCTAATCACAACCACAAGGGTAAATAATTTTATTTTGTTATTAACTAGTCTTGCACTCTTGATCGACCAACTCACCTGCGGCTGCTATAAGTCCACCGCCAGCAGTAACCAGGCCTTCTGAAATAACGAAAATAGTGAGACAAATGAAGCTAAGCCTGCACTTATTGTTATCCACAACCATAATCATCAGAAGCTTAATACGAGGCTTGTTCAATTGAAACCCATTTTTGGCCCAAAAAAAATGTATTGATAAATATATATACAAGTAATTACCGCTACAATTAAGGCACATATACCATTGTTCCACGAATCGATATATATAACGTATACCCTGCTTAAAGAGTTCTTGTGGGTGCTGATTGAAGAACTCATTTGTACTTCTTCGTCCGACTGACAATGCTTACATTTGAACGCCTTTTTCAGTTGCCCAAAGTGTGAAAATCACGCCAAATCGGGATTATAGGGTGGATTCTCTTAAGGCCGAGCATTGTCGTGAAGAATCACACCACGCGAGAGCTTTTCTGGACGTGTTCGACTTTTTGCTCGATGGGATGGGATGAAAAGGTCCTTGTGCCAAAGCTACGAAGCAGATTTGGTTTCGTGACATTGTTCTGTTGTGTCATTTCCATGTTTTAACTGAAAATTGAACGAAAAAGAAGGGCAAAAGGTTCAGAAAGTGTGAAAAAGGAACAGGACAAGTGACTTAGAGTACAAAACTTACCGAGGCGATATAAAACCTACAAGAAAGCCTAATAAGGCACATAAACCATTTTCAGAATTGCATAATGCGGCACTTAGATCTTTTTACGATTTTCTGTTTACGCTTCGGTTTCTCAAGGGTCCTACTTAAAGTAACCTGATTTGTCTTAAAAAATATATTTATAACTAAAATATCGTTTACTTCTTACTCAAATAGTTTTATATTTTTGGCACTTAGACCACTTAGAACTCACACTCTTCAATTATTTATGAAAGAAAGTCGTTATCGTTTTGATCATGCAGAGCTCAATGCACCTGGTTACGGTTTATTATTCGTCTCTTCTCTTCCACTCTTAAATTTTCGACATCATACCTTGATTATTGGATACGCAGAACATGCCTTTCCATACTCTGCTTGATTTCCCGTATGAATTTGTAAAGGTTGCAAACCTCCAGCACACAAAAGTGGAATAGCTGCACGCTGTTTATATTTGGACGGATTGTTAACAACAAAGCCCATTTTTCACAATTCTTAAAATCGCAGCCAAATACAAATGACAGGAACTACTCAGTGTGACGTTTACAAATACAACATTGCAAAACTTCAGTTATGGTAAGTGATTTTATTTCCTAGGCTGACCTGACCAAACACTGGATCCAAATGAACAAGCCTCGTATTTACTGAGCATAGAAATCTCTTAGTTTAATTTAGTGAATCGTTATTTTGCAACATTTTGTGATTAGAATCTGGTGGTTTCAATTAAGCATAGCACTACATCACCATATCTGTTGCGTTGCTCTTTAGTGTCTTTTGACACCTCATCAGCATATCCTAGGCTTGGTCTCAGGTGGAACCTCGAACAAAAGCTAATATATCGAATATTCGCATGCTGATGAGTTGCCAAAAAGCACGAAACGGCTGTCCATGGCTCGCCGTCTGTGGTCGGACGATGACAGCGCCGCCTAGCGGCTGTAATTATTTGAGACTGTGGACCTATCATCATTGCTTGGCAATCAGATGTTTTGATAATAATTTCCGGCTTTTCCTTAATTAAGTAAAACAGAATGAAAGTACTTAAAAGGTTGTGATGCATATTAAATAAATTACTTTGCGCATCTGAGCAAATACAGAATGTGATTTGAATCCAGAAAACATGGCTCAAACTGTGCGAGCAGTGAAGAAGCTAGTGTTGGGACAGCAAGTGCGAGATGTTGAAGGGGTTTGAATGCACGCTGAAATCTACTTAACAAGAACTCTGGTCATAAGACATATGTCTGTGACGTGACCTTCCTGAAAAATAAATTATTAAATGTGAGTACCTTAACGTAGGGTATCAGAGTATACACTTTTTGGGTAGCAGGTTATAAAAAACACACAACAACGATGTTTTCTCCAGAGAATACCTCTTTAGAGACATCATTATAAAATAACACATTCGACATTCATCATTCAAAAATTCCTCGAGCAGTGCATTTATAAATCTAAAATTCTCGAAATCTTATATACTAACATTTTGTGCGATTCAAAACTGTGATTGTAGACCTATGTATGACAGTCCGATAACTAGTCGGTTGATATTTGACGACGCCCGTTGCCAAGTTCAATACAATAAAATTCACTTTTGAAAACCATGCAAATTAAAGCAAGTTATACCTAGAAGAGTTTGGTAATTTTCATAGTATAAACAGACTTTGGCACTTTATGTTTTGAAAATGATATCATCAGGATGACCTCCAGATCTCCGAGAAAACTCTTCCAAACGGAACTCAAATCGTCGAGCACTCGCCTTGAGGTTGCGGAGACTTCGTGTCAAATGCTTTGTTTTGATCGTTGAGGGTTTTTGGGTTAGCATTGTAGGTTCGGCTCTTGAGATACCCCCACGAAAAGAAATCGGGTGGGAACAGTCAATGTCACCTCTCCTCAATATCTCTTTTTCAGAGAACGTTTCCTGTACGATACCCATGATCATGTTGGACGTGTGACAGGTGGCGTCATCCTGTTGAAACCAAGTCATGGAGTTGTATCCATTAAAACCTTGGAGCTTAAATGCCAAAAACTCTCTCGGCATTCGAACATAACGTTCTCAGTTAGCAGGCTGCGATCGTTCTAAAAAAAGTAGCGTCTATTCAAATCGTTAGCCGATATTACTGCCCAAACTGTGTCCTTTTTGGCGATGAAGTGTTTTTTTTTTGCTTTAACGACGTCTGCTCCGCACTCCAGTATCGGCAGTTTTGCTTGTTCACAAAGGACAGATCAAATGGAAGTGAGCCTCGCTTGAAAAGAGGATGTTTCCCAAATCACAAAACCACTCAAACACTAACACTGAAAATTCTAATTCTTTGCAAGGTCAGTGCTCTTCAATACTTAGACAATTTGAATCTTATATAGATGAAGTTTCAGGTCATGCTTCAACATTCATTTCAAACTCCAGCATTTCCGCCCGCGTTTCGCGGTTTTATTTAAAAAACACGAGTGAACTTTGTTATGGTCCAACCTGAATATGCCTTAACATTTACGAGAAAGAGTCAATCATTTGAAAAGTTAAATTTTAGTTCTATTCAGACTTTTTAAGACTGGTGCTTTATCGATTTTGCGTGCAAGTCCAAAAAATTCTCATCCATAATTCAGATTTCCTGTTTACTTGCTATGACAAACGTTGTAGTAGGAAAAAAAAGATTATTCCCATCGTCCAGTCTCGATTCCCTTAAGAATGACAGTAATCAATAAATGTGGCAGTACTCTCCGATTACAGCTACTATTTTTGCCGAGCTAAGCTGGCTACCGTCATCACTAGCAAGCCAATGCGCTGCAGCTGGTAAAAGCTACAAAAATACTTAATCCCTTGTTGCTAAAACTGTTAAAGCTAGGGTCAGTTTTAAGTCAACTCCTCTCAAGCAGGTCCGATACTAATGATCTTAAGCAACCCAAAGGTCAATATATTTTGTTCGAGTACTTACTGGCTGCTTCAAATCCACTGGAGACGATCGCTGTAACAAAAACTTGATAAAATAATTTTGAATTTCACATAGAGTTCGTAAACATATATATTTCCTCACAAACAGAAGAGGAGCTATAGTATATTCAAATTTTATTTACGTCAAAATAACTGCCAGCACGTTACAGCCAAGTTCGCGAGCTGAATGCCTGGGCGTGGCAGATACAAGTAGTAGTAGTAGCAGTATGTATTGATATATAAGTATATATGGCAGGTCAGTACAAATAAAAAACTAAACAAATAAAAATCAGAGCTAAAATCTTATAGATAGAATATAGCTATAACATGCTAAAACATGCACAAATGTTAGATAACTCATATTTTATTATATTATTTGTCCTTGTGCTTTAAAAATTCAGCCATCGTATAGAACCCTTCTCCCGATAAAAACGATTTCACTTCATATTCAAAAATTTTTAATGTTCTTATTTTTTTAAAATGCTGAGGCAGCATATTATAATATATTACACAGTTGATGTCGTACTGTTTCTGGTATTGCCCTAGACTCTAGAACTGGTACATGTTTTTCCAAACGTATAAAAGACACTTAAAAATGTAAACTAAGGCCCAGTTAAATTTTTCTTAGATTTATATATGGTTCTATATGTATTTCCAAGTGGACCCCAGAAATTTGCGCAGTTCGAATCTTCAGTACCAGGAAGCATAGCAAAGTCGTTGGGTAGATGTTTTTGGATCGCGTAGTTCATTAAGACTGGTTTGCCTTTATTTAGCATCAGCCTGTTACGTGGACACCAGCCACTAAATTCATCAACAACGTGGGCTACATTATGTTGGAGCTCTTGAAGATTCTGTCCCTGTACTGCTATCGTCGCAAATAGATGCTGCGATAAAGTGCTCATATTTCTTTTTGAATTGGTGTAAATAAGATTTGTATACACTACAACTGATGACAGCTGTCAAAAATGCTTTAAAAACTACGCTTTTGAAATCATAAGCGAGGAATGGGAAATCGTGTTTCATAAGAAAAACAGCATTTCGAAAATATGTTGTACATCAGTACAATCTTGGTACTTTGACTAGATCTACCATTGTAGCTAGATGTAGTAGCAATGCTGATCAAAGTAATAATTTAGGACGCTTAATGTGGAAGCAAGTGTCACTATAATCCATCAAAAAGAGCGAATCGGAATTCTAATAACGGTGGGAATATGTAGTTATACCATAATGTATGTTCTAAAAGTTTTAGCACAAAATCCATTGGCCTTAATTTTAACAAACACAAAATAACATCAAGTTGCCTGTGGAAACAAAAGTTTGTGTATTTAATTTACTGTCAGTTGATATTTATTAATTTTAAAGTGTTTGCTTTAAGATGTCGTATAAATTAACAAAAAGAAAAAGTGCCTACAAGTTGGTTGGACGGGCACTCAAAGCTGAAATCTGTCGAATGTCCAAGAATGGAAACATTTCACACATAACCATTTATCGAACAATAGCGGAGTGCGTAATGTCCCAAATAGTGGAAGACCACGTGCATTTACTGCATAGAGGTCAGATGGATTGGTGAGAAGAGCCGTCAGATTGGAATGTGAAAAAGAAGACTGTCTCGTTAATTCTGATCTTTAAGTTACAATGTCGTTGGAATTGGGGAGGAATGGTCTTACAATATAGAAAGAGACTTCAGTGCTCCAGATACTCACAACTTAAGTATTGAGTTGTTATTTATGAGAACTAGTTAGTACGAATATTTAAATGAATTCCTTCATTAAAAAAATCCAACAAATATTTTGTGCAAACACTTTCAGGAGATACTTTATTAATTATCACCACAGAATGCTAATTTTAACTCAAAATGACAGATGGTTTAAAATTTAACGTTGAGCTTTGAAACATACTCATACGTAATATTTCAATTTCCTTGACTTTAATTCTGACAGGAATTGATGAATCACTCTACTTACCAGTTGCCCCATCAACAAAAGCCTTCGCTGAAAAAATAAAACGTTTTTACAGTTACTTCGTAGGCTAACTTATGATATCTAAGGGTAGATATTTCTCTGTCGATCTCAAAGGATGAAGGGTTGGTCGAGTCACACACCAACTTGATTTGTTCAAGATTAGTGGTAAAGCAATCGTAAATTACGATTTCATTTTTTTTAAATGTACCGCACATAACTTGAACACAACAACGTTTGGCTTACGAACTAAAAATAGCATAAAATGGACACGTGAGAAAATTGTGGTATAATAAAATTTGTAAAAAAGTATAATGAAAACATCAGAGAGATCAAAGATTCTGCCATATTCGTCTTGAAACCTGTTGACCCATTGAAGTGAAATCAACAATTGAATGCAGAAAAATACAGCGTCTCCGTGCCATTTAAGAAATAACATCTAAGCCTCAAAGGAATTAGCTAATGCATTTAAAATTGCCGTTGTTTCACCTATTCCTAAAAAGGTGATATAAGCAATATTACTAACTATAGGCCTATATCAGTTATTACAGCTTTAACTAAGCTATTTGAAAAAACACAGTTCAATAAACTCAGTCATTTCAGAAGAACGATTTGTTACTAGATAAGCAACATAACACGTCAGAAAAAATGTAGGACTGAATATGTGTATTTCTAGGTTTTGTTAAAGCTTTTGATACTGTTAACAATCAAGAGATGTTAGAGACACTGTAAGATGGTGGAGTACGACACAAATCTACACAACTTTTTGACATTTTCAAAACTGTTGATATACTGAGCAGTAAAAAATGATTTAACTACGGTTTACCACAGGGTACCATAATAGGACAAATTCTCATTACACTTCATTCTCCGTTCTGCGGTCTTATATAGAGCTTTTAGGACGACACAGAAATATTATACGACCACAATAACTGGAATGTATGAGAAAACTTATTTCATGTCATTCCCCAGTAATGCTCGTTACTTACCACATTACCAACAACCTTCGATAAACAGATAAAAAAAAACGTAACATTGACATCTACAACGAACAAGCAAAACTTCAATAAAATCAGCCAAGTTGTTCAACACAAGACAAAGAAAAAATCAAAACCTAGTAATAGAAATCCAACATAAAAATGCAGGTTTGCAAAGGAAACTCACCTGCAAGTGGAGCAGCTCCTGCGAGATCAGCGCCACCTTTGAGTCCAGCTCCTGGAATATTGTAAACATTGAGACAACAAATGAAGCTTAAGCCTTTCAGTGAGCTCTTCCATTTGAATACTTACTGGCTGCATTAATTCCACCTTCTATGAATTCTGCAAATAATAATGAAATACTATGTCACTTGTAGCTCCAAAGTTTGTAGGAATAGTTCTTTACTGATTTGCTGACATCAGACAGGTTGATGTGGCTTTTTTGTCCAGAAAAATATGGAATTTATTCAGCATCAAAGCCGTATTATAAGTTTCGGGTGTGAGATTAAAGTAAATGTAAACGTTAAGGCTAACGTTTGTTAACCAGGGAAAACGATCTTGAATTTTATTTTTATAATTATTGTCATCGTTTATCACGGTGCTGTCACATTTCTTAAATTATATGATTTTTAGACAACAGGTGGAAGAAAGGTAGTCAGGAACGAAAAAAAGTGAGTATTCAAGCAACTCAAAATCCTACTTGGTTATCTTCCGTTTTGTCGAATGAAAAATGTCGAGCGCGTGGTTCAAGAAGGCACTTTATGAATTTCATCTGAGATTTTAGCTCTTGCATGCGACGTGGACCATTCGAACACTTTGTACTGTAAAGAGTTATCATAAATGGTTACGGATACTTGAAAAATATACTGAGCACATTAGTGTTCAACTTCCTCAGCTGATTTCGACTGTTGTCAAAAATCAAGGATAGAAGTAGCGCAAATAACCAGAAAGGAATGGATCTATGCAACTGTATACAAGCCAGATCCGAAAAAACTTCAACTATTTTCATAACTGGAAAAAATTCATCCATTGAAACTCGGGTAAAAAGAAAATCATATTGAATGAGGAAAGTATATAGATTGACTCTATACTTCCGATGCTTTCGATTTAGGTTTCAAAGACAAGGATGAGTCAAGTCGTTTTAAAAGGCGCAATCGTACGCAAATAAATAAAGTAAACCCATCATATTCCTGTTTTCATGGCAGATATAAGGGAAGCATGTGTTCTGTCTAATAAGTACATAATACTACCGGTATCTGAAGCTTCTTAATAATAGGTCTTCCATTAGTGTCAAACATGCAACAAATTATCACCATTTACCGCATATACATAGCTTGCAACCTGCAATATTCCACCTCTCCAAGCAGTATGTAAAAAGGAGCAGGAATTTCTGAAACATTATTACACTACGAGCCAGCGAGTTTTTTTTTTTTTTTGGGGGGGTTTTCCTATCTAAGCCTCCATGGCCGCCTCCCTTGATCCAGAGATTCATTTGCCAAACGCAGGACAAAAGTAATCAACATGAGCTTTAAACACGACGTAAAAGTAAAATGATGACACCCCAAATTATACTAAGTGACATATAAATCCGAACACCCAGTTTAAATGGTTTTATTTTAATAAAAGTTGGTGAATGTATTTATCTTACTGGAAATAACAAGCGAAAAAATTTTCAGCCTTATCAGTTGGACATTCCGGTTTTTATACTGCTTTTTTTTTAATTCACTAACGCTCTAAAAATGAATATTTCAGCCGCAGTAAAGAATCAACGTTGGCGGATTTTGATTCTTGACATCCTTTACGATCGGTTACGATGCCTAGAGTACGGAGACCTGTACGATTTCGTCAACTTAGTGAGTTTGATAGGGGCCGTATAGTGGGACTTCGGGAAGCTGGACCGTTTCTCCACTACCAGATCCATTGCAAATGAATGGTTTGCAGAACACGGAAGACCTTTAACTCGAGAACACCGACGTAATCGCCTTGAGTGGTGCAGACAACGGTCACTCTGGGATCAGGAATGGAACAGTATTGTCTTTAGTGACGGGTCCCGATTTTATTTAGGCATGCACGATGGTCGTGCCAGGGTTAGAAGGCGACGTGGTGAAAGGAGGAATCCACAGTTTTTTGTTGAAAGACATGTTCATCACACTGTTGGAGTTATGGTTTGGGGTGCTATAGCTTATGGTTCCAGGTCACCTTTAATCTTCATCAGAGGTAACGTGAACGCGCAGCGTTATATCCACGAAGTTCTAGAACCCCATCTTTTACCCTATCTTGACACCCTGGCAGATCCAACTTTCCAACAAGATAATGCCCGACCACATGTTGCAAGAGTCACAATAGACTTCTTTCAACATAATGATGTCACATTGTTACCATGGCCACCAAGATCTCTCGACTTATCCCCAATTGAGCACGTGTGGGATATGATGGGTAGGAGATTGCTCAATTTGCAACGTCCTCCTCAGACTCTAGAAGCACATCGAGAGGAGTTGGTGGTTGCCTGGAATGAGATACCACAGGAGGACATTGACCACCTGATCAGAAGCATGCCTAGGCGCGTTGGAGAATGCGTAACACATCAGGGTGCATCCACACATTATTAAAGGTCAAAGGGCTTTAAAGCAGTGCAATCATTTTGAAATTTTTATCATTTACTTATTATGCTTCATTAATTACTTATACAAAATTTTATTAAAATAAAACCATTTAAACTGGGTGTTCGGATTTATATGTCACTTAGTATATTTTTGTCATCTATAAATATGTTGATAACAAAACTGACTAAGACTTAAGTAGGTTAACTACTACTTGAACTATGAGTTGCTCTAGCTACAAGTTTGCCCATAAGTGCCTAAAAAACATCAAGTGTCAAGTATTGGATAACTTATAGCTAACTTGACTTAACCGGTCTTCTGGGTAGCATTAGAGTCAAGTGCTTGGATAAATGAATAACGAAATTAGAGGCATACCGGCCAATATGAGGAGCTGCGGCTTGTCAACCTTGTATCCAACATACTCTCTCCAATATAATTCAAGATGACTCCTAGATATTTCACTGATTGGGATAAAACTAGTCTAGTCCCAAGGAAGGTCAATAAGACAAGCCCGTCAAGCTTCCTTCTCCTAGTGAATAGGATCAGCTCGGTCCTTCCAGCTTTAACAGAAAGATTGACTTCCCTATTCTACGATTCCACGCCGCGCTCAGCGCCCTGCATAATCTCAGAAACCGTACTGCATAAACGACTTCTTTCCTCGAAGCACCACACTAGGGTAACAGAATTCCGCCTTGAGAACAACCCGTAGCTAGAATGACGCTGCAGCATACTTCGTTTAGCATAGCTGCTGATACACGACCCTCCAGAGTGGATAGAACTCAATCAACGAGGATTGATCCAACCTCAAGCCTTACCAAGGCATGTGTGACGGAGTCGGTTGTAGTGCAATTAAGTGCAACTTCAATGTTTAAAAAGACGACGAGTGCCGCTTCTCGCTGATCTAGAGTCTTCTTAAGCCTACCGACTACATTGTGTAAGTCCAGATCAGTTTCTGCATCGCCTTCTTATTATCATTGTTAAGAGTCTCTCCAGTACCTAGCTCTATTAAGAATTTTGCGCACAGCTCGTTCCCTATCATCTAGCTCTTTGGACCAGAAGGTAAGTTTGCCCTTGCCTTGAACTTTGCGTAACGGGCAGTTTTCCTCGTACGAACCTCTTAGGTCCCTGCTCAGAGACTGCACAACTGCTGCTATATCTGAGCCTCTACGAATGCTGTTTCGAAGCAATTCAAGCTTACCAAGCGACGCCCTATCAGTATGCCTAAGATAAGAACGTATTTAGGTGGTATCTCCCCATCAGTCTTAAACAGAGACGGTTTCAGAGACACTTTCCAGTTCCTAACTTCTTGAGCTGTTTTAGGCTTGCCGAGTCTTTCATCAATAGCCTCTTCTCTGACATTTTTACTGAAAGTAGGCACGTTAACAACATTCAGAACCTCGAGGTTCGTTGTCTGTGGGAACTCCATAAGCTCCTGACCCCGTCTAACGTATGTCCGAAAAGTTTTGGCTTTAGTTTTAGCACACACAAAATAATACAAACTTGCCTTTGGAAACAAGTGAGTTGACTTTTATTTATTTTGAAGTTTTCGCTTTAAGATGTATAAATTAGAAATAAGGAAAAGTATCTACAGGTTGGTATCCAAAGCTGGAATTTGTCGAATATTCCAGAATGAACACATTTCAAGCGGAACCATTTATCGAACAATCGCGGCGTACGAGCAAGGAATATCATGTCTGAATCTCTCAAAATGTGGAAGCCCACGTGCGGTTACTAAACAGAGCTCAGATAGATTGATGAGAAGAGCAAAAAATCAGGTTGGAATGTCAACAAGGAGTCTAACTCGTCAAACAGATCTTCTAAGAGTACAATATCGTCGGAATTGAGAAGAAATGGTCTTAAATATAAGAGACTTACGTGCTCAATTACCTCCAATTCCTTCATTTTAGATAACGAAAAGTATTTCACTTAATTCTGAAATGACGGGAAACGGCGGACTTTATACCGATAACAATGATCAATTCCCTTACAGTGCTAGATACAAACATAAAGCGAAATTTGCAGATAAAATCCTTGTCTGGTGCACAATTTTTAACAGAGGTGTATGCCAAACTTTTGTGGGAAGGATGAAGCGTGAAACTTCCAATTATCAGAGCTATATTGATAACAGCATTTTCAAATTGGTTTAGTTTGTCAATAAACATGATGCCAATCACCATATCACGTCTTGGACCAACCTAGCGTCATGCCATTACTCAAGATATACCCAAAACTGGCATCGACAACACAACATACCTGTTCTTCCTCCTCCGAAGTTGCCGCAGGCTCGCTTAATAGAGGATTTTTGCGCTTTTCTGTCTAGGAAATTTTACCATGCAGGCTGGGAGACATAAGATGAAGAACAATTTGACGACGGATTTACGAAAACCTGAGAGAAATTGATCTGAATTCCGTTCAGGATGTCATGAGAGACAGTTGAAAGAAAATGTGGCGTCTGGTGAGGCAGAATGGAGCACTCCACATAATTCCGTATTATAGTTTAGTTAAGTATTGAGTTGTAACTTACGATAACTAGTTGCTGTTCAGAGAAATGTCTTCATTAAAAAACATTCCGATAAATATTTTCTGTTAAAACTTGTAGGGCATACGTTATTGGTGTTCGAGCTGCCCCACACAACGTAGTGTGCAGGCCAACTTCTCAGTGGTACCACAAGTTTTAGGTGTTCCATTAGGTGACAAACATGATGCAAGACGCAAGAAATATAGGCGTAAAGTCTATCACGATAAGCAGTTTTTTTTGCATTCATCTCGTATGACCCGAGAGGCTTACAAACACATTCATAGCAGAATCATGCAAAAGTTTTTATATGATTTTACCTTTTACGATGTCCTGCGGATTTTCGGCTAGATCACGTTTGACGATTCCTCCAGCAGCAGCTTTTTTCGCGGAAGCTTCTGACGCTTCCTTAGCAGCTTTACTTGTTTCGCCTTCCTTGATTTCGCTGCCTTTTACTTCTTTTGTGTCAAGTATTCTTTCAGTTCTTTGAATTATTACTGTTTTAACTTCCTTGACTCCTTCGGTGTGACCTTTGCTAACTTTCTTTTCTTTCTCAACATCTTTGCTATCTTCAACCTTAGCTTTGCTCGCTTGTTTGTCTACCTTACCTGTTGAGAGAGTATAAGTTGGTGTATGCTCGATACCTTAGGTACAATGTACCGTGGGTTTCAAATTCGACTCTTTTTATACCAAAGTAACCGTGCAGGCGAAAGCCTAAATACCAGGACACCGCGACTGCTATGAGAATCCCAAAGAAATTTTGTTAATCCGATTTTTGGAGTGCCTAAGGTTAGTAGAACTGAGAAAAGTTTCCTCTTGTACACTGTTTCTCAATCTCGACACGAAAGAACTTGAGCAAGCTCCAATACAATGTCAGGAGTCAAGTACGGGCCAGAAGCTTTGTTGGTGTCGAGCGACAAGGGTACTCGTCTTACGGTCTTATGCCTGGTTGTTACTTTCCGCATAATGTAGGAAACTCTTTGAATCGACGGCACGGGCTTTGGAGGGATGTCCATGGTGGAGTTGCCACCAAAGATCTTGGCAAGCACTTCAGTCTTAGACTTTGAGTCGGTTACAATCATTCTATCCTAGCACGAAAGTGGGAAAGGCTACACTGTGAGACGTTCCTTCCAATCCACTTGGCCAACATCCAGAAGGACCGACTGCTACTGCGCTGCGAAATTACCCTGTAATTCGGCATTGCGAACCTCTTCGTTATTTTTGTTTGTGGACTTGACGTCGGCTGGTCTGTTCCCTATAGTGGTTGAACCAGCCGTTGGACCCTAGTCTAGGCACTTTCACTGTATGAGGGATATATTCCTCCATCCCTACGTGGATGAGTTCGATTATCGAAGAACAGACAGCCGACGAATCTGCGTCAGTGGAACAAACATCTCTCCAAGGAAAGATAGACGAGAAGTCTCTGAGCCCCTCCCACTCGGCATGTTCGAAAGGCCAAATTTTGAAGCCTGGTAGAGTTTCTGCTGCCACAGCCGGTTCTGACCGAAACCTAACCTCCACAGCACCGTGATCTGAGCTGCGCAGGAGGCGCAGGGCAGAAATGCTGTAAGGGACAGGATGCGTGGTCAGAAAAGGATCCAGCAGGCTACTGGCATGGGACGAGACGCTGGTTCACCCCTGGAGTAGGGGGGGGCTTCAACTGCGACTCCAAAAAAAAAAACTGCTGCGGACAAAAGCCACAACTTCCCCGTTCTTTCTCAGGTTGGAGTGTACCTCGTAATTTGGGAAGCTAAAATGTTAATCGGTGTAGACTACTATATTTTTGTCTCTAACAAGAAAAGGATGTAGTGATGAATAATAGCATCAATGTTGCAGTTAATCCCGCAGATGTTCGTGTAACAAACTTCATCCTCAATGCTGTTCCCTTGGGTCCGCCCTCGACCCGGACCGAGAGTGGCGTGAGTTTACCTCCGGAATCCTTAGTACTAGAGGGGTCCATCATCAATAATCCCTTTGTTGGGCAAGATAACCGACTGCGTAGCTTAGGTGTGGAACACTGGTTCTTGTCTGCCATATATTTGCATGTTAACGATGTTAGACCCAAAGTGACCGGTTGGCACGCTGGTACCGCGTGAAACGTTTTCGTTCTGGAATATTCGACAGATTTCAGTTTTGGGTGGTACCCGACCAACCAACTTGTAGATGCTTCTCTTATTTCTAATTTATACATCTTAAAGGCAACTTGATACTATTTTGTGTTTCTTAAAATGAAAGCCAATCAGTTTTGTGCGGAAACTTTCAGGACATACGTTATTCCCTAACGCGTGTACAATCACTTGAACGGGCAGACGTTGTATACTGAATGCAACAACTTCTGGATTCATGGATTCAAAGCCGCTTAAATGGGAAAACAGTTGCGCATTTATGTAACTAACAAACTGCTGCTTAGAAAGTTTCGAAATTCAAAGTTCTTTCGGAGGGGGACGGAAGAAACGAATTTTCCCAAAACCGTTCCAATTTTTTTTTAGACTTTATTCATAGTGGGTCTCCAAAGTGAACTGCACATCAGCATCACTACTATTTCTCCTCTATAAGACGACATAATCAGAACTTATGAAGCGTCGTCTCTGGTCCTGCAGCACCACTACAAGACACCCATGTCATGCGGGCGTATCATGCTAGAAAGTTCGTCAATTAGTTATTTAAAAATTATGAAATTGACGTAATTGCTACGTTATTTTGACGGACATTGCAACCAAAAAGCGTTCTGCGCATTGTTACCGTTGACATGATTTCAGTTGTGTAGGAAGCATAAAGACTAGATATGGGAGTGCGGATGAAGCTAAAAATGTCGACGATGAAGACAGTTGAAGCACGCGCAGCAAATGAATTTCAGGTTCCGCGCATGTGGCATATCCCTTTGTTGCTGCCATCATGTCTGTCTGTAAACGACTCCAATTTGGACAGTTGAGACGATTTGTATGTATAGTCTAATCAATTTGCATTCAGGGAGTACATGCCAAGTACAAGTCGTGGTACATGGGAAGCTAGACTATATGGTAATGGTATTATTAACGGTTCGGCAATCATTGCTCAAAGTTCAAATTTATCTACTTAATTTCACTTATAGTCAGGACTGAAGCAGAAATATCCATGTAATATTTCGATTATACTAGAACTGTGAGATCCTTTAAGGATTGCAGCTAGCAAGGTACCTATTTGAGCTTTTGCAGTCACATAAATATCACAATATATTAAAACATATAGGATGCTACTTCTAAAAAGTCAAATCAAAATGATGCCAGAAGTTTTCTCAATTATTGTCAAGTCAGAGTCTGACTATTTGTTTCAGTTTTAATGAAAGGCAGAAATATAGATAGATAATTTTCCGAAAGCACTTACAGTACTGATGCTTATCAAAGGTATGCCTTCTAGAAACGATCAGCGCTATAGTACAGATAAAAGATGCACGTACACTTACCACCAGCTGCGCCGCCTGCGATTGGAACTGAGACAGCAACTGCAAATACAACAGGTTTAGTCACACTGATATTACACGCTCCAGCAGCTTGTAGCATCCAGCAAAAATACTCAACATCCTTCTGTTCGTCATTGTCTGTCAAAACGGTTCTTACTAACTTTGCTCTTGGTTAAAGCAGTCAGTAGGTGTGTCAGGTATCGTTGCCCATATTCCAGACAAAATCACTCGTGAACTATTTTACTGTTTTTGCTATTTTAGCTTTCACACAATACTGCCACTAATATGTAGTAAATAATGATAAAAAAATAATAAAATAGTATCAAAGTAGAATGAGTTAATCAACTTATCCGCGATACACATATCTATTCACTAGTGGTATTTATTTTATATGGTGGCACTGTAATAGAACATCCAACTTTGATGAATAGAATTATTAAATGAAAGCTGAAATGGTAAAAAAAAAGTTGACCGGGAAAATATGTGAATATATATAAGAGTTGGCATTTTTGAGATTCTACCTACATTGCACATTTTTGCACACATGTCGTGGCTTGATTATGGATGGAAGTGTGATGCGCTAGTACTTCTCCCAATATTAATACATTTTAGGTATTTTTATAGATAAGTGATGTCCTTTTGCACGTGGTACTTTGACCAAATAAAAATTTAAAAATACGTTGACAAATATTGGATAGTCTTAAGCGCATTATATCCCTAGCCAGTACATTCGCGCAATAGAATTTTTCACGAACCGGAATGAGAGTTTGTATTTTCAGAAAATCCTAGCGATTCGCGTATAAATTATCGTAGACTTTATTTGAAGTTCTCCTAAAAGTTTCTTGTGTAAACTGCATTTTCGCAACTATTTTCTATCCAGGAGATAGAAATTAGAGCGCAAAGCGACATACTAATCTCCAGAATTCACCACTACCGATAGCGAAAGGCATCAATTAGTTTATTCAATGTCAAGTAGAAGATATCTACTGGACGACCACAATCGTCAGCCATCTAGCGGTAACGCGGTGGATGGGCTGAACGTGAACTGAGATCTTTTACAGTTTCAACTAACAGCAGCTATGCGCTCTCCGAAGTGGCCTATTCTGGCGATTTGCCGTACCTTCTGGATGGGGGATAGTTGTGACTGACAATTTTTTGACCCACTCAAAAAAGTTCTGGGGACACGATTTCTGGAAATGACGCCAGTCTCGGTGAGGGGTTACAGCGATTAAAAGTTGAGGAGTGGAGGTAGCGGTGTCTACTGCATCAATGCTTCTGAGAGCGAACGACTTTATGACAACTCAAGATCGGCGGAGGGGTATCGGCGATTCCATTGAAGAGCAGGGACGTATCGGTGATTGAAAGTTAGAGAGTGAAGGCGTTGCTGAATTTTAAAACACGTACGAAAATTTTTAGAACTAGGAGAGGGGTTCGATCACGTAAGACACGCCCTTGAACCGCCACTATTTTTCATAGTCTCCTTAGGGAAGGATTAAGTGAACCAAATCATGCCTAAGGCATTTCTGGATAGTTGACTTTGATTCTATAAGTAAGTAACTAACTATTTGAACTACGGTGTAGTGGGTTTTGCATTTGAACAATATTTTCGTTTTTCATTATCAATGGACTGCTTTGAGTTGTGACTGTCCAATTTTGTAGACAAGACAGCGCAAGGTACCAGCGAAGCAGCATGCTAATTTCCTATTTGTAGTTATCTACCTATCAGTGGAACTCACCTGATATTATTGCCAAAGCCAAAGCTACTGCGAAGATGTACTGAAACAAACGATTTCAGAATTCAATTGATGATAAAAAAATACTTTTCGTGCATGACGCAATGATGGAGAAACTTTCAGCACAATGACTAACTCTATTTTTTTTATACGATCTTGACGAAAATTGAGAAAGATCGCGTATGTACCAAGAGCTTAGTCCCACTAAATATTCAGTAAGCATTTAAAAATTATCAAGCTCATTTACCTTCATGATGTAAGGATTAGTATTCACTTACACAATACTAGACTGGGGACGTTTAATATAACTGTTCTCATATTTATACCTTTAGCTTAATGGCAAAAGGAACACTAGTTGGCGGTAATAAACGTTTTAGATAATACGTTGCTAATTTTGTGATTTTCACGTACTTGGAACGAAAGAAAAGCTTGTGCAGGTCCGTATAACGGCAATATTCGATAACTGTATCTTCTCGCAGAGATACATGAAAAACTATTAGGACGCTTTCTACTATACAGGGTGGCCAACTAAGAATGCGAGATTCTGGATCTGGGAATCTATTCATCGTAGAGGCTTGCGACAAAAAAGTTCTGACTAAAACGACCAAGAGAAGAGCCTGGATAATATTTTCAAGTTTATGAAATGGCCGCTAGGGGCGCAATTGGAATCTTAAATACAAAAAGTGATATTTCTGTGAATTCCGCTATATTAACCTAACAAAAAAATACATACATTGTCTTGTGGTAAGATGTGCCACTGGAAACACGGCAAAACTTGTTTTTGCAGTTGGATGCTTGCCCAGCACATTTTGCTATTATTGTGCGAGAGCATTTTAATGTAGTATTTCAACAGCGGTGGTTTAGAAGAGGGATCTGTTTCCATGGCCTCCGCGATCACTAGACTCAACTTGTCTTGATTTTTATTGATGCTAAAGGACATCGTGTTTCGGACTTAACCTACAATCGGAGAAGACTTGAAAAACTGGATGCATAATGCAATACGTAACATGCCGACAGCAGAAATTGAAGCTGCAGTTTTGGCTATCTATGAGAGGCTTCATGAATGCATAGAGCGTGATGGTCAGCATTCTTAGTCTCGGAAATTATGCAAGGCGCTCTGTGGAGTCGTGGTGCAGGGAAGTCGATCTTTCTGTTAATGTAAAAGACCGAGCTGATCCTATTCACTAGGAGAAGAAGGCTTGACGGCTGGTCATGCCGATCTTCTTAGGGACTAGATTAATTCTATCCCAATCAGTTAAATATCTGGGAATTATCCTGGATTGCAAACTGAACGGGAGAGGGCATGTTGAATACAGGGTTTCAATTCAATGTGGGCCTGTAGACGTATTTTCGGTGTAAGGTGAGGGCTTAAACTGCCATACTGTCTCTACACGACGATAGTATGTCCATCTCTCTTGTACGGCTCCCTGGTCTGGTGGCATTGCATTAGAACTTAGACAACTAAGGCCAAACGCAATAAAATTCAGGTTTGGCCTGTATTAGCATTACAATCGCAGTGCGAACAACGCCACTGAGTGCAATGGAAGCTCTGTTGGATCTCTCACCGTTGGAACTGGTGATCCGCGGTGAAGCGAGAGTAGTCGCTCATCGACTGTGGAGTCAGGGCAACTGGGCTTTCTTGAATCCTGTCAAGGGGCATACTGCCATCTTAGTCAAATTGTAAATGGAGGACCCCGTCGTTCTAAGTAGGGGTGATCGTATTTTAGATTAGGGACAAGATATCGAAATGCGGTTTCTGCAAGCTGGCTAGACATCAGTTACCTACTTTTTCATAAAATATATAGCAATGTGTTCAAGAGAAAATTAACCACTTGTGTTGGATTGTCGAAAAAAGCCGCATGTGAAACCAACAGAACCTCAAAAGAATATTATAACATTTGTAGCCCAAGAATAGTTCATTTCAACTGGCCCAAGTTTGTTAAAATCAGCTCAGCCGTTTCAAAGACATAGGGTATTCTTTACGGAAGCCTTTGAGTACCCCCACCGCTTTCTTTTTAGAGATACAGCAAAACTTGTTAAACAGAAAAGGTTCAGATTATCCTCGAATTTAGAGAGATCAGACATTTTTTTTTTTTTGTTAAAATAATATAGTCACTTAGTTTATGTTGTTACAGCAATATCGGAAGATAAAAAAAATTATTAATATTGAAGTATTCAATAATGTAATATATGTATATGTATACGATATTTTATGTAAGTTTAGTTTTAGTTCACTGAGGGTGTGTGTTGGGTTTACCTGTTAATACCCCAAACTGTATATAAATAAATAAATAAATAGCGGAATTCAGAGACACATCACTCTCTTAGACTCAAGATTGCAGTTACGCGCCCTAGCGGCCATTTGAGAAACTTGAAAATATTTCACAAGTTTTTATTGTGGCCGTTTCAGTAAGAACTGTTTTTGCAGCAAGCGTCTACGATGGATACCAGAACTTCGCATTCTTAGTTGGTCACCATGTACAAGAGAAAATCTCACTTCATGGTTCACATGTGCGACATAACCAGCACTTGCATGTTCTAACACAATGATTGACATTGGAGAAAAAAAAACAATCAGGTAGGTTGACCTGACCTAAATGCAGGCAACTGTCCATAAACGATCATGTTCAGCACCAGAAAAAGGCGTAAAATTCCCGTAATCTGAAGAAATTGTTGTTGCTTAACTCCTCGCACAGTAGCCATCTACCACTTACGTGTCAGGATGGAACGATCGTAAGTGACTGAAAGGCCAAAGCGGAAGTGCTTGCCAAGATCTTTGTTGCCAACTCCACCGTGAGCGACCCACCAACGCCCAAGTGCCGTCAATTCAAAGGGTTACCTACACTATGTGGAAAGTAATATTCAGGCAAAATACCGTAAGGCGGGTGCTCTTGCCGCTCGACATCAACAAAGCTTCTGGTCCGGACTTGATTTCTGCCACTGTGCTGAAGAGGTGTGCAGCGGAGATTGCTCCAATTCTTTCGCATCTCTTCCAGATATCGTATGAATCCGGTACCTTCCGAGAAAACTGGAAATTTGCTCATGTCCAGCACAACCCCAAAAAAAAAAGGATCTAAGACCTACCCTTACAACCTCAGGTCTACAGGTCTGCTTTTTGCTATAAGTAAGGTGATGGAGAGGTACATAGTTCGCGAGCTTCTGGACCACCTCGAATGTCACGGCTTGATTAGCGACAGGCAGGATGGTTTCCGGCACCATCGATCCACAGTGGACCTCCTAGCTTGCATCTCGCAATTGTGGAATAAACTCATCCAGTCTTTGGTGAGGCTCATGTCGTTGCTCTTGATATCACGAAAGCATTCGATCAGCTGTGGCCCGCTGCCTTCTTATACAAGTTTCCATCGTATGACCTTCCAGAAAATCTTTGCAGATGGGAGGTTGACTTTCTCTCAGGCCGCAAGATATCCGTCGTAATTGACGCGTTCTCCCCTTCCTCCCACAACGTTAACGCGGGTCTTGTCTCCGACATTCTTCCTCTTACATATCAACGACCTCATTTCTTGTACGATCAACCCAATCCACAGTTTTGCTGATAACTGAACTCTACATGCAGGAATTCAGAGTCACACACCTATCTCTGCCGCTGAGCTGGAAAACAGAAGACTAGCCACGAATTTCTCTATGACGAGAGACCTGCTTGGGGTTGCGATAATTTTGTACAGTTTAATGTTTGGATGGCCGAGTTCTGCCAAAGAGCCGATCACTTCGGCTGGTCGGAGTCCAGATCACCAAGGACTTGATCTGGCACGGACACATCTCGTCAATAGCGGCAGCTGAGGGAAGAAGCTAGTGCATTTGTTTAAGGCTAAGAAGTATTTACTCCGCATGACCTTCCCACTCTATAGATACATGGCTCGGATAAGGTCTAGCCTCGAGTACTGCTCACACATTTGGGGAGCTGCTGCCAGAACTACATTATTTATGCTCGATGCTGTGTAGAGGAGGGCTGTTCGACGGATCGACGACTCTTCTCTAACACACCAGCGGACGTTGCTCCCCAGAGCTCTCATAGATTATGCTCCCGCGCGGTGTGCTTGCCAAATAGACCCACCCTAACCGTGTCGAACTTGGGGATACGACCGCTCTTTCGTACCGAGGGTATCGAGATTGTAGAATAATCTGAAAGAGAAAGCTTTTCCCAGTTTTACTAATCTTAGGCAGTTCAAAAATCGGATTAAGAAAATTTCTTTGGGATTCTCATAGTTGCCGCGGTGTCCCGGCATTTAGGCTTCTGCCTGCGCGGCTGCTTCGATATAAAAAAATCATATGTACCTTTTGTGAAATACATACAGGTAGTCTGCAAGGTATTTAGGGCCAAATGTTTTTAACATTTCCAGCAAACATAAAAAATGCCAAAATATGAGCTTTCTTAAAATACAACCTAAGCTGCTTGTTATAAAAAAAATGTTCTTACGCCATCTCGGAGTTTTGTGTTTTATAAGGTTCAATTGTTTGTATGTTATTTGTTTATGTTTGTTCTTATATTTTAAATTTGATATTCATTTTGACGAGTTCTGTAGATTATACGTATCGGAAAGAACAATAAACTATTTTTCAATATATCCTGATCAGAACCATAGATATTCACCACCCCACCACAAACGGAGGCATCGGCAACACGAAATTCTGTATTTACTATCGTATGCAATGACGCCTTCATTCTTCTTATTCATAAAAGTTGTGCTCCTGTTTTTGTTTCTCACAACTCCGAATGGTATTGCAGTTAAATAATTTCGCACAGTACTGCAGAAAAATCCAGATTTAAACAGTCATCGTTCGGAAGAACAGCAAGTATATAATCCAGAAGTCTGCCTCTGTCTGTCAACTGCAGTATTAATGTTTCTATGAATGCACAAAAGAGAGTGAGCTTTAAGGACTGATATATTATTTTTAGTGACCATGCGTGCTGTTTTAGAATTACGAACAGAAACTAATACCTGATAAGACCGCCAAACGTTATCTTAATTTCAATTGGTAGAACGTGTTCTGACCGATGTGCCGTTTCGCATATAAAATGGTCACGAAGCTAAGGTCGGACCAGTTAGTTTATTTAAGTACAATAACAAAAACGACCCATACACATCAACATGAAGGTAATTAAAATTACCAGTAGTTACACAGAATCATTGCTTAGAACTACTATTTGATTAAATTTTTCTGTATACAGTCCTAAAGTATTTTACCATTTGACATTCTTTTTCAGTGGATTTTTGTATTAGCAGTCGCACTGGCGCTAGTATCAGGTAAGTAACTAACACTGACCCTGATAACTACAATAGTAGGACAAGCTTGACTCAATTGGATAACTATACATATAAGCAGGATGATATATACCACATCCAAAATATCTAAACCGAACACAATAAGTTTTTACTCACTTGAGAAGTCAGCAGATTCTGTCAAGAAATGTTTGAATGATAATCTCTGCAGTGGACCTAGAAACAGTAATACTGTTGAATCGTCTATAGATTAATTTGACTGTAGGAAGAAAGCTTTTACGTAGTATAGTGACAGAAATAATAAATTAATTGCATTCATAGTATGCCGCAAGACGAACGTCACACGGTCCATATTTACTGTGGTTCGTACCATCAGCATTTACACCAGTGGCCCTGGATTTCCACTAATAATTACTGAATGTTCAGCAGTTTCCATGATAAATACTGACGAAGCACAGTAAGTACTGAGCGTGGGACAGTCGCCTTATATCGTAATATCAAAAATGAAAACGTTTTTCAGCTGCTGTGTCCTTCCCTAAAGGCGGAGCAGGAGAAGGAGCAGGTAAGATTAATTCACGTTATCACTGACACTTAATTAAATTAAACCTAAGTAAATCACTTCTTCGTATTACACTTCGATCCCCTACATGGTAACTTCGAGCGGAACAATTCGCACTAGATCATTTCTCAAAAACCATACAGTGGTCCAGAACATATTTTGACCTTATATTTCCTCAAGGCATTATTTTAAATTGGCTCAAGACAGAAAGCAATGTAATCGTTTTTGAAACTTTTGTAATCAGTACAGCATGTGATTTCGTTCCATCGCAGGTTAATTGTAACTTAAAAGCTAACTATAAGTTAACTCTCAAGCATTTCAGGCTTGCCCTGAAAAAAAAGTTGTAATTAAACAGCAGTCTCCAGCTTACTTTGCCTGAAACTTACATTCGTTGTCACTGAGCGTGGTCGTAGCGAATCCTTGTTCCAGAAGCTGCTGCACTTAGGCATTTTGTTCTCGTTTGAGTGATTGTGCACGCATGACTCAGTATCGACTGTCCGGTGGCGGTACAAGTCTTCCGACAAGCCACCTAATCTATATTTAACACCATTAATAAACAAAATGAAAGTTGCAGACGAGAAGTGGTCAATGGAGGCGGTACCGCCTACTAGCTTAGTTCAAGGTACCTCGAAAGCCTCCGCATATATCCACACCAAAACTACGCAGTCGGTTTTCTTCTCTCTTCCTTCACAATAAAGAAATAAGTAATGTCTCTCGAGTACTAAGAATTCTGGACGTAAGCTCACTCCACTCCCGGAATGTCTCTGACGAGTATGGAGTCGAGTGAATGAGTGTATTATGAAATCAGAGGCACACCAGCTACTATAAGGAGCACCCGGCATTCCTCAAGCCGCAAGCCCCACCCTTCCAGCAAAGTCGAGAATAGGCTGCTTAACATTCTGGGGATCCAAAGTGGTGGACCCCAGTATAGTGCGACTGTTGTCCTCACTGTGAGGCAGAATACGCACCAAGGACCAGGGATCCTCAGCCACCCCCCTCACATGTCGGTGGTGCCTCAACGTGGTATGGCCAGACAACAGTCTCACCAGCAACTTTAGGTTGGCTCTGTCCAAATATAAGCAGAAGCGTCCATCCTTAGCACTGCTCCCTACGATGAGCTCCCTTACCTGATGGAGACGTCTAGAGATACTCCATTGATAGATACATAGATAGATAGATGCTTTATTGTCTTCGGATCATAGGAATGATATAAGACTCGTCATGAGTACATTATTATCTACAAAAATTAAAAATATAATTAAGTATAGAGAGAGTGTTGTCTTGAAATCAATTTTGTTCCTGAATCTTCGCATGAGCACCCCTAGGGCTAGCTCAGAACCGACAAGCTTGCTCGTGCCCTTTGCAGTTCGGCTAACATGGCAGTGTGACTGTTGACAGGATTAAAAAGGGCACAACTGTTCTAACTCCACAATCGATGTGTGACTACTCTCGCTTCTCCGCGGATCCGACAGTGGGAGATCCAGCAGAGCTTCCATTGCACACAATCGCGTTCTCCGCAATGCGCTTATGATAGTGATACAAGCTAAACGCTGAATTTTAATGAGTTTGGCCTTAGTTGTCTCGGTTCAAATGCAAGGCCACCAAACCAGGGAGCCGCACAAGAGAGACGGACGCACCATCGTCGTATAGAGACAGTTTACTACATTGGGTTTAAGCCCCTATCTCACTCCGACAACACGACTGCAAGCTCACAGTAAATTGCGAGTCTTGTACTCAACATGCCCTGTCCAACTTAGTTTACAGCCCAAAATAATTCCTAGATACTTTACCGATTGGAATAGAAGCGGTCTAGTCCCAAAGAAGGTCGCCAAGACAAGCCCGACAAGCTTCCTTCTCCCAGTGAATAGAATCAGCTCGACCTTTTCAGCTATTATAGAAAGATCAACCTCCCTACACTACAATTCCACAGCGCGCAAAGCGCCCCGCATGATCTGTAAACATCTCCGAGCTTCCTCTGCATCACAACCTGTTGCCGTTGCTCTCAATGGTTCCCACTGAATGAACAAGTCGGTCCCCTTTGAGTACTTCCTTCTCATTCTTCAATAAACTCCACGCGCTGGGATAAGCTTCAGGATTATAACTCCTCGTGATGACCTTGTTCCCCAGGATGGGTTACGGGAACCAGGCAGAGGTAAAGAGAAAGGTCACCGAAGCTCATCGTAGCCAGCGTAGAACCTTCTGACGGCCGCAGATCCCCCAGTGGGGTTTCAACCATCCCTCGAGGACTCGTCCTCTCAGACATAATTGACTGCCCCTCGAGAGAAGTAACAGTCAGTGTACCTCAGAGGGGCCAGTTCATCAGGGAGCCCACCTATCAGCATACTAACTGCCTACTGCACCGGTGCCTTGATGAATTTAGTCCTAGAACTTCGCAGTCGAAGTACGTTCGGAATCCCTTGGTAAGAAGCCTCCAGGATGATCCTAGTCCCCTGGTGAAGGACTACCCTGTCGCAGGGATCTCGTTGTTATTTTCGTTGTGGTCCAGGATTGTTCCCACGATTTGAAATGGGGAAATAATGGTGGACATCCGCGGTGCCCCTGCCCAAAGTCCCAGAGGCTCTGTTTAAGTCGGTGCATCCACACCGCCGCGTACCCCTCAGCACCGAATCGAACCTAGAGTTGGGTAGTGTACCCCGCGATGACCATCGAGGTTCAAGCGTCCCATATATACATCCAGCACACCTGTGATCCAATGAATCATTTGACAAGCCGAGTTACCAGCTTCTCGGCGGGTGACTTCAAAACTGGTCGAGCCCATCCACTGGCACCACGTTGTCTACCCTACATTTTTGCTCACGGTTCATCATCAAAGGCCGTCCCGCAGAATGAACTCGAGGTTGGATTTTTTGAGGGGCACTCGATTGAAAAACATCGATGATCAAATGTCCATTAGCATCTGCGGGATCAACTACAATATTGCGTATATGCTTACTTATCTTGGTGGAGACCAAAATCTCCGATTCCGCTCCGACTAAAAATGTTTGCTTTCCGAACTACGATATGTATGCCACTTTGAGGAAAAACGGGTGAGTTGTGGCTTCTGCCCACATGAGGCCAGAAGAACATTCTGAGCATTCGCCTGAACCACAATCCATTATGCAAATTTATATGCTACCTCTGAGCAGCTCTGTTAAGATCGACTTTTTGAATTAAAATCAATCAAGCCTGTCGGATTATCTTACTGACAAAAAATAAGTATCTATGATATTTGCACAATCCTCCATACCTGATTCGCCAATGAAAACACATATTCTTTACATTCAGCTAAAATAAATCTCTATATAGGTCAAGTCATGCGTGTAATCATACAATTAATATGTAATTTTCAGAGTCTTGTTCCACCTAATATCTTTTCTAATCCTTCAGCTGGAGCTGCCGCAGCTGCCAAAGAGGACACAAAGGAAGACAAAAAGACCTCAGAACATAGTGCAGAAGGCAAAGAAATTAAAACCACGATCGTCCAAAAGACCGTGAAGGACTTGAAGTCCTCTGACGTCCAGGGAAGCGAAGCCAAGGAGGGTGAAAAAGTAGGTGCAATTGAAAAAGCTGGATCATCTGCTGCAGGAGGTGCAGCTGGCGCCGCAGGGAAGAAAGGCTTGTGGGGGCTAGGAGGAATTTTTAAACGTGACGTTGCTGAAGCCGCGAAAGGTATGAGGTACATCAGTTGATGCGTGATTATTTGACTGAGATTCAGTGTGGCTATTATCCGCTAAAAGTCTAGGATTCTATAAAGTGATCAAGAGAAACTCCTGGAAAATGTTGTCAAGTTTCTGAAATGGCCGGTAAGGGGCGCAGCTGTAATCTTGAATCTAGGAAAGTGTGAAACCGCTATATTAGAGTAACAAAAAATACCTGGTCTTTATATTCGAGAATTTGAGGAAAATCATTGTTTGCTGTATCTGTAAAACTAAAAAATAAAGCGGTGGGGGTACTTAAAGGTTTCTATAATATTCGGAATGACTGACCCGATTTTAACAAGCTTCGGCTAGAAATGTTATAATATTTGAAGTTTTGTTAGTTTCATATGTATACTAAGTGACATATAAATCCGAACACCCAGTTTAAATGGTTTTATTTTAATAAAAGTTGGTGAATGTATTTATCTTATTGTAAATACCAAGTGAAAAAATTTTCAGCCTTATCAGTTGGACATTCCGGTTTTTATACTACTTTTTTTTAATTCACTAACGCTCTAAAAATGAATATTTCAGCCGCAGTAAAGAATCAACGTTCGCGGAATTTGGTTCTTGACATCCTTTACGATCGGTTACGATGCCTAGAGTATGGAGACCTGTACGATTTCGTCAACTTAGTGAGTTTGATAGGGGCCGTATAGTGGGACTTCGGGAAGCTGGACTTTCTTTTCGAGCAATTGCAGTTAGAGTGCAAAGAAGTGTAGACACTGTGGTTAGGTGTTGTCAGGCATGGCTTCGAGAAGGCCGTACGCAAAGAGCAAGGGGCACTGGACGCCGCCGTAGAACAACAGACCGTGAAGACCGCCGCCCAAGATTATTGGCCTTAAGGGACCGTTTCTCCACTACCAGGTCCATTGCAAATGAATGGTTTGCAGAACACGGAAGACTTATTGGCATGCGAAGTGTTTACCGACGAATGAGAAGTTTTGGCTTGTTTTCATACCGGCCACACTGGGTCCTCCCTTTAACTCGAGAACACCGACGTAATCGCCTTGAGTGGTGCAGGCAACGGTCATTCTGGGATCAGGAATGGAACAGTATTGTCTTCAGTAACGAGTCTCGATTTTGTTTAGGCATGCACGATGGTCGTGCCAGGGTTAGAAGGCGACGTGGTGAAAGGGGGAATCCACAGTTTTTTGTTGAAAGACATGTTCATCACACTGTTGGGGTTATGGTTTGGGGTGCTATAGCTTATGGTTCCAGGTCACCTTTAATCTTCATCAGAGGTAACATGAACGCGCAGCGTTATATCCACGAAGTTCTAGAACCCCATCTTTTACCCTATCTTGACACCCTGGCAGATCCAACTTTCCAACAAGATAATGCCCGACCACATGTTGCAAGAGTTACAATAGACTTCTTTCAACATAATGATGTCACATTGTTACCATGGCCACCAAGATCTCCCGACTTATCCCCAATTGAGCACGTGTGGGATATGATGGGTAGGAGATTGCTCAATTTGCGACGTCCTCCTCAGACTCTAGAAGCACTTCGAGAGGAGTTGGTGGTTGCCTGGAATGAGATACCACAGGAGGACATTGACCACCTGATCAGAAGCATGCCTAGGCGCGTTGGAGGATGCGTAGCACATCAGGGTGCATCCACACATTATTAAAGGTCAAAGGGCTTTAAAGCAGTGCAATCATTTTGAAATTTTTATCATTTAGTTATTATGCTTCATTAAGTACTTATACAAAATTTTATTAAAATAAAACCATTTAAACTGGGTGTTCGGATTTATATGTCACTTAGTATATATGTGCTAGAGCGCTTTTTCGACATTCCGACGGAAATGATTAATTTTCTAAAAAAAAAAATCAAATACAATGGTATGATTTTTTTTATTAGAGATTAGCTAAATGATGTTTAAGCAAGCTCGCGAAAACCGCTTTTCGATATCTTATTCTAAACCTAAAAAATAAGCCAAAGGAAATTTTATACGGAAATCCCTTAAATTTATATTATTAAGTTATGGCTCTAAGAAGGACTGATTTGAAAAAAAAGGACTTTAATTCCCCCGTGAATGCTTGAAATACTGGCGTTCATTCTCTATTCATTCCTGAAGACTCTCATGGGTAGACAAAACTGCTGCTTCAATTTCTGCTCTCGGCATATTACGTATTGCATTACGAATCCGGTTTTCCGTATCTTATGCGGTTGTAGGTTGTGTTTGAAACGTGATGTCCTTTAGCCGTCCCTATCAATGAAAATCAAGACAAGTTGAGTCTGGTGATCGCGGAGGCCATGGAAACGGACTTCCTCTTCCAAACCGCCGCTGTTGAAATACTGCTCCCGTACACTAATAGCAAAATGTACTGCGCAATCATCCAACTGCAAAAATAAGTTTTGACGTATTTCCAGTGGCACATGTTTCAACAACAGCAACGGTAATTGCTTGTTCATAAAGTCGAGGCAGATATTTCCATTTAAGGATTGCTCGAAAAAATATAGCCCAATAATTCTGCCTGCCTGTATGCCACACCGCACATTCAAACTCCAACGCTCTTGGTGCTGAACTTCACGCAACCGATGTGGATTTTACATTGACTATTTTTACGATCAAATGAAGCTACCTAAAAAAGTTCGGTCAAAATTATATGAGGCGTCCAGTCCAAAGATGTTTATCAATTCACCTCTTAGATGTTTGAGGATGTGTGGGTTACGACACAAACCAAAGGGGATGCTTTTGAGCTCCAGCGATAAAGTATTTATACGGAAAAATTTAATAAAACTATAAGCCCTACAGGATATAACATAAAAGGAAATAAATGATTATTTCTAAACATTCAAAACCTTTAGTGCAAACTGGTCTCTATACATTAGAGGACGCTTATAAAATTTTGCAAAGGTTTCAGAATTTTTATTGAAGCCTGCTGAATCTCTGATAACATCCGGTGGACTCCAGTCTCTGCTAGCGGCGAAAGTTGTCGCATGCTGGCTGGCATGCGGCTTGAACATGCTAGTATCGATACCTGCTATGTTAAGAGTCTTTCTGACTCGGCGACTCAAAGTTTGTTTACAGGCGATTCTGTAATGTTTTTGGATTGTGATGAACAAATACTCGTTTGGGTTCCTTAATGCAGCAGTTTCTGTAACGTAGGACATCAAACACTTCGCTTTGCATAATTGAGGCTTGTCATTGAATCTTGGAAGTATCAAGCAAGGTTGTTTTGATCTCGGCTGCGATGTTTTAATTTTAATTTTCGATATGGTCTGTTCCGTTGCTAACAATAACAGTTTCATTGAACGTAGTTTCAGAAATGTAGTCTGATAAGCTTCTTATGGAAAACGGTGGGAAAGCATACAAGTTCATTCTTCCACGAAAGAATAAAGACCTCACATGCAGATGCTCCGGGATCCTTCAGCCATGAGATATATCTCTCACATTTATGATTTTTTCGAGATGCGAGTAAATCTACGCTAGGCGTCCCAACGTTTGAGTAATTTTGGAGTACACTCAACCCACCAGAAACTATTCTGCTTTCGACTGCAGTTGTCTGGATTCCTTGTCCGCCATCCAATTATCTTATTTATTGATATAGGAGGCATATGCCCGGAATCTAACATCACTGCCATAGTTGCTTCGTCAGTTCATTAAGTCTCACATACTGTACGCTCCCCATGCGGATACCATAGGCAACTGCAGTTTAACGCATCTTATTGAAATACTGCGGTATTTACAACCCCTAGCGAAACATTCTAGAGCTAAGAATATCGTTTGCAACTGCAAAAAGTTGATATGATTGTCTTTCTCAGGTTTTATCCACCAGCTATGAGTAGTCTTCCCGTTACAATAGGCACCCCCATCTGAAGGGGATGAGTCTGTGAATATTTCCAGCTGAAATAATTCCTGCTTAATGTCGTTTTTTGCTGAATCCATATTATTCATCCAAAATGATAGATCGGCTTGTGATTGTGCCGAAAGCGACATATTCGCATTGTAATCGATGCTGTGTTTTCTAAGAGGAATTAGTTTATCTTTTTCGAAAGATATTGTGTACAGCCATTCGGATTTTCTCGGGACATGCTGATACCTGACAATTTCTCGGATTCTAAATATCTTTTTACATTGACAAATTTTTGTCCACCTCAAGTTTTTTGTCGATTGTATTAGTGTTAAATATGAAGCTCAAAAATTTGCAGGTTTTTGAGAGCACAAAGGATCCTGATTAATTACAAATCCGAGAATTACGCATCCCATCTAGTTCACTTCAGTTAAAATGAATCTCTATATAAGTCAAGTCATGTTTGTGATCATACAATTGATATGTTATTTTCAGAGTCTTGTTCCACATAATATCTTTTCTAATACTTCAGCGGGAGGTGGAGTTGCAGCCGAAAAATCGTCACAAGGCGCAGCCGCAGCTGGCAAAGAGGCCACAAAGGAAGGCAAAGAGACCTCAGGGCATAGTGCAGAAGACAAAGAAACTAAAACCACGATCGTCCAAAAGAGCGAGAAGGACTTGAAGTCCTCTGACGTCCAGGGAAGCGAAGCCAAGGAGGGTGAAAAAGTAGGTGCAATTGGAAAAGCTGGATCGTCTGCTGCAGGAGGTGCAGCTGGCGATGCAGGGAAGAAAGGCTTGTTAGGGGAAATTGTTAAACGTGACGTTGCTGAAGCCGCTAAAGGTACGAATTCCGTTGTCTAAAGCCTTCTGAGACTTCAGTGTGGTTATTATACGCTAAAAGTCGGCAGCATCTTTTAAACTAAGTGGATTGCCTTCTTATTTCCTCCGTGCGCTTGATGCCTTTGTACGTCCTAGAGGCTTGCCGCGAAAACGTTATTACTAAAACGGTCAAGAGAAAATCATGGAAAATATTTTCAAATTTCTGCAATGGCTGGCTGCAATCTTGGATCTAAAAAAGTGATGTTTCAGTGAATTCCGCTAGATTGCGTTGTAAACGTAATCAAACGGATTTAAATATGAATAAATCCCTATGTTTTGATGGCCATTAGAACGTACCTATGGTCCTTCAAAATATTTTGTACGGTTGTTTGTTATATGCCCAAGTCAAGGGATAATGCATTTGCGCTAGCATTTCCTTCAATATATACCAAGTACGCGGTTAATATTTTACTACAGCATTCTGACGATATTCAAAATGAACTGCAAGCATATCAATAGCTTCATCGTTCATGAAACGGATTTGGTAAGCACAAAAATTATTTAAAGTAACACGGGTTGTTTTGGTTCAGATTAGGTATTTGTTTTATTGCATCCCATGGCCTGCTGCTCGTATGCCCATAACGAGTATGCATTTAAACAAAAAATATGCCTCTTGTTGCTAGAATTACTTACTTACCTTTCAGCGATATTTTGTACTATTTTCAAAAAGGGTGATTTTGTCCTGATGAATGGAAGTTCCAGAAAAATTTGATAAAAAAATAAAAACGTATAAAATTTCCTTTGGCCTAAACTTTAGGTTAGGAATAAGATATCGAGATGCGGTTTTCGCTAGATACTTTTCAAACATTACAAGATTTGTAGCCCAAGAATAGGTCTTTTCGACTAGCCCAAGTTTGTTAAAAGCGACTTAACAGCTTCGAAGATATGGTGTTATTACGGAAACTCCTGAGTGTTAACCTGATTTGATGTATGTTGAAATGACTTCACTCCCAAATAAAGTTAACAAACACTCTTGTGGCGTATTTGCGATGGTCAATTCGGTCGGTGCCGATATACAGCGCAGCGTCAGTTCGGGTCATATACGTGAATAATGAACCATTTGATCTTTCTTGCTTTACAGGAGCCACAGCTTTGGGTGCAGCAGGTAAGTAATCCCAGTATCAGGTCACATGAGCTGGCTAAGCAGAAGCGTTCTTTCGTGCAAAAAGCCCTGTGACGTTCAAGAAAAATATGCTAAAGTATTAATTTAAGTCGGTGTTGCTAGACGCTATAATTGATCAGAAAGCGATTTTAGTAAAGAGTCGATAGATATAGATATACGGATTTCCTTTGAAACAAAACTAAAGATATACAATCATTTTTGCGATTCAATATTGCAGAAGACGTGATTATTGTGTCTTGTTTCATACAAATCACGTACATTTATTTTTCCGCTAATAACATTTTCTCTAAGTACGTAGTCTTTTACCCCGTTTCTTGCTCTTAGACACAGAGACATGTATTAGTATATTTTTAGTTGTGCATTTTATTTTTCGCGTTCAATTCCTTATATAACCGTGTAGTACCAAAAGCAAATTCTGGGATTTGCAGCATTGCTACTAAGCGCTATAAGTGACCTTGTAGGGGATAGATATAATTCACTATTAGTCTCTGATCTGTAATTATTGAGGACTCTTGAGAAGGTGGGTAAAGATTTGCGCCTAGTGGACCGAAGCATCAATTTTCTACGTTTCCCAGGGAACAGATCAGTAATGGAAAAGCCGCAGACTCCCAATAAAAAGAAATAGAAAGGAAGTGAGTACCCTAACAGCGGATATTCGTGCAGGCGAATATATGTTAGGTTACTGTAGAGGAACTATACTAAGTGACATATAAATCCGAACACCCAGTTTAAATGGTTTTATTTTAATAAAATTTTGTATAAGTACTTAATGAAGCATAATAAGTAAATGATAAAAATTTCAAAATGATTGCACTGCTTTAAAGCCCTTTGACCTTTAATAATGTGTGGATGCACCCTGAGGTGCTACGCATTCTCCAACGCGCCTAGGCATGCTTCTGATCAGGTGGTCAATGTCCTCCTGTGGTATCTCATTCCAGGCAACCACCAACTTCTCTCGAAGTGCTTCTAGAGTCTGAGGAGGACGTTGCAAATTGAGCAATCTCCTACCCATCATATCCCATACGTGCTCAATTGGGGATAAGTCGGGAGATCTTGGTGGCCATGGTAACAATGTGACATCATTATGTTGAAAGAAGTCTATTGTGACTCTTGCAACATGTGGTCGGGCATTATCTTGTTGGAAAGTTGGATCTGCCAGGGTGTCAAGATAGGGTAAAAAATGGGGTTCTAGAACTTCGTGGATATAACGCTGCGCGTTCATGTTACCTCTGATCAAGATTAAAGGTGACCTGGAACCATAAGCTATAGCACCCCAAACCATAACTCCAACAGTGTGATGAACATGTCTTTCAACAAAAAACTGTGGATCCCTCCTTTCACCACGTCGCCTTCTAACCCTGGCACGACTATCGTGAATGCCTAAACAAAATCTAGACTCGTCACTAAAGACAATACTGTTCCATTCCTGATCCCAGAGTGACCGTTGTCTGCACCACTCAAGGCGATTACGTCGGTGTTCTCGAGTTAAAGGGAGGACCCAGTGTGGCCGGTATGAAAACAAGCCAAAACTTCTCATTCGTCGGTAAACATTTCGCATGCCAATAGGTCGTCCGTGTTCTGCAAACCATTCATTTGCAATGGACCTGGTAGTGGAGAAACGGTCCCTTAAGGCCAATAATCTTAGGCGGCGATCTTCACGGTCTGTTGTTCTACGGCGGCGTCCAGTGCCCCTTGCTCTTTGCGTACGGCCTTCTCGAAGCCATGCCTGACAACACCTAACCACAGTGTCTACACTTCTTTGCACTCTAACTGCAATTGCCCGAAAAGAAAGTCCAACTTCCCGAAGTCCCACTATACGGCCCCTATCAAACTCACTAAGTTGACGAAATCGTACAGGTCTCCGTACTCTAGGCATCGTAACCGATCGTAAAGGATGTCAAGAACCAAAATCCGCCAACGTTGATTCTTTACTGCAGCTGAAATATTCATATTTAGAGCGTTAGTGAATTAAAAAAAAGCAGTATAAAAACCGGAATGTCCAACTGATAAGGCTGAAAATTTTTTCACTTGTTATCTACAGTAAGATAAATACATTCACCAACTTTTATTAAAATAAAACCATTTAAACTGGGTGTTCGGATTTATATGTCACTTAGTATAATAAACAACATGAAGCGAGATAATGATCTCGTCAAGTCCGGGGCTTGACAAACATTTGATTCCATGGAAACATTGCCTAGTTGCATTACCAATAGTATCAGCTGATAAAGGAACAATGGAAAGGGACAGGAGAGTTTGAAACTTGAGGTCCTAAATAAGTATGTCAGGCCATCAGGTTTTATTTTAACATCAGGCCTTAAAGTTGATATCTGTAGGATTCTTTGAGTGAGCTACCTGGATTTTGTTTCTCAGTGTCGGCGATTCATATGAAACATTCACCCATACAGGAAGGGCAGTGGTTTCCTTAGGACTTATCAATAACCTGGAGAATGGATGAATATCACGTTGTCAGACATAGTCATTTATGTAGACTTTTTTTTTCAACACAATGCGGATAGAACAGCTACAAAAAGGAAAACGTTATTAGCCGGGCAGTTTCTATTTCTGGATGACAGATCAGCAACTTTTCAAAATTGGTGACAACTTTGGTAACAGCATGTCTGGGACAGGTGTACCCTAAACACGCAGAGATGTGGGTATTTAACAACAGCGGGGCAGGGAGGAAGGGATTGCGTGCGACAAAGAAGACAAGTTCGTCTTCATTTACAGCTAAGTTCGTCTTCATTTACAGCTAAGTTCGTCTTCATTTACAGCTAAGTTCGTTTGATCTTGAATTTTACACATCTCTCTTAGACGCCACAGTATTTTCCGCGCGAAAAAACGTTTATATATGGCCAGTTATTTTTATTAATGAGGAGTATGACACGTTGAGTTTGGTGTTAGTTCCAAGATTTGCTTGGATGTTTATTTGGAGACTATGCGATTTTTTTGGTTTCTCTCATTATTGGGAAAACACACCTGTTAATCGGAAATACTTCTGCTACCATTACGAGGTTGAGGTATCAAAAAAACTATCATAATTGGTTCTCTTTAACATTTTTATTCGCTAGCGCTATCAGGTATGACTTGTGTGGTTACGCTCCGGGTTATTCAACTAACAAAAGAAGAAATAGATAGCAACAAAGATCGCGCAAATAGCACTGCCCATTGAGAATAGACAGCTCTAATCTTTGGAATAATTCGTCATCGCATGGCAATAAATATGATTTTTTTATAATTGGCCTTACAAAGATCTCGACCTTCTATGGTCCACCTGCCTGACAACCACATATTTGACGGTTACGTTACAATATTAGCCTTCTAGTGATCCTTTTTATATGAACTTCATGTTTACCTGGATTTGGGGTCTTCTTTCAAAGTTGCCGTGGAATCGCAACTTTACATATACATGAATTAACAATATAAATAACAAAATCTATGTAAGAATACTTATTCTAGTTAATACATTATACAAAACAAAGATAAAGTGATTCTTAGTGTGGACAAATGTTTAAGCGAATGGTTTTTTGTTTCATTACTAGAAAAAGAAGGAAATTATAACGAACCAGTTTGGTGGTGGTGGTCAAATAATAAATTGAACGTAATGCACATCTTAGATATTGACATGTAGACTGCAACTTATCAGTAAGACAACTGAAAACTGTTATGGGGATTTACCTTGTCACAAACTGATGAAAATGCGAAGATATCTCCAGCAGTAAAGGTTTGAATTATTGGTTGCTATACTGATGCCTTTATGTTGTTAATAAATAGTATGTGGTGGCTGGTGATATGTTTCATGAAACTGATGATGTTATAGTACATAATACTTAAATCGGCTATGTCGTTCTTGTATTAATTGCATTATCGTGTTCTTTGATTGCCAATATTTCGTCTCCATTTTTTTGTATTCGATCCATACATTGCTATTTTCTGATATCTACAAAAACTGATCCTCCTCCATTATACATACAATAAAATGAAATAACAGCAGAGGGCGAATACCATTTAAAAATTGCCAATAATCGGTCAACTTTTCCGAGAAATTGGCACAGTGATCGTACTTGATCCTCTCACTCTACGGGGTGTCAAAGTCAGACATGAGAAGGAGTTTTAACAAAAACTCAGACTTTGGCATGACTTCTATGTGGTGTTTTCGCCTCCTCAAGGAAAAATAATACTGGATGAGACAGCTTTTTTAAGCAAAAGTGGTTCAAAAAAGAAAGGGCATGGAATTAACTGAATATAAGCCTTTTTTTTAAACAAAATTGAACATCTCAAAAATTGTTAGACTTTTAATAAAACAAAATTCTACGATCGAGTAGGCCATCACGTGGCCTATCTACAGCATGACTGTCCTTCAATTTCGTCATAAAATACTTCATTATTGAAGTAGGTATCCCATAAAGCAAAATTTTTACGCAACACACAGGTGCCTTATTAGTAATTTCTACGATAAACCCAAAAGCAACGTGTGCTAAGGCTGGAATGCCATAGAAATAGGAATACAAATAATACAAGTTGGGTGATTGTTTCAATTGTCTTGTTATTTTTTCTACTGAACTAGACGATTGTTGTAAAACATGCATGATTCATGCTCACTACCAATTATCTGTTAACATAACGTTTACCCATAACTTGAAATCCAACTTCTGTAATCCTGAAATGGGAATCATTCACATCCACCACACTGATACCAAACTCAACGTATAATGTGTGCCTCTTTTTTAATGAATGACAAAAACATTGCAGGCATTCCCGGATTAGAAGCATTTGCAGTTCCTTTCAAAGGTTAGTAACCCGTCAACATTACATGTTAGTCAAGATTGTAATCAAAAATGAGCTTTATAGGTATCAGCATCAAGGATTATAGGTTCATAAACGAATAGGTACTGTGATTCAATTCTTTGTCTAACATGAGACAATGTAGGCATAATCCGGTTCCAAGATTTCCATTAATTCGGAACTGGAGTGACAGATTATAGTCGGTTTTCAAAATGAAATATGGCTATATGACACATCATACCCCACAGATAAGATATTTGTGTAAATGCACGCAAATATCATCCTGCAGAACGACAGCAACAGAAACTTAAATATCGACTTTCGAAAGTTTACTTTTAGAAAACTTTTAAGTTATTAAAATACAAAGCAAAGATACAGCTCTTGAACTGTACAATAAAATAACATGTATGTCATTAAAAGTGTATCTCAAGTCTGTCGGGCTGATGTTCACACGCACTGAAGTAATTCATGCAGGTTTAGAACATTCCTATCAGTGTTGGTCGGTGACTTATGCTTCTGATTTCCATTTTGGTTCACGATTATGGAAAACGGTAACATTGTCAAGTCGTGCCCTACTCAGGAGGATTCCCAAATCTGGTTGTGGAGTATGCTTTATTTGCAAAATTTCAGTGACACACTAAATACACAAGCCCCAGCAACAGGTTGAGTTACTTAAAATCTTTTATTACAGTCATCTAAACGAGATGATAAGTTTATGCGCGTATGTGTATATAATTATGAGGATAGAGGTCCTTATCCATTGTACCGTATCACACTAGGCATGCGCTAGGATCGTGTCTATCACAATATCAATCACGTTCTGAACCGTTGTGCAACGATCATGTACCACATCGAGACTAGCAAAGCCCAGAACCGTCTGTGCATTTTAATAATATACTCAAATTGAAAGAAGAATTATATACACGTTGATTGCTGAAAAAGTGCAAATGACGTGTGGTTCCCATAAGACACTGCAAATGACATACAGTCGCTCGAAATGTTCAATTGCTGTATAAGAGACTTATTTTCTGGTCTTATTTTGGTGACCAGAGTTGGTCCCAAGATCATATCACTTAACACCATTGGAGTTATTATTATGGGGTTATCGTTAGTAGAAGGTCTATTCCGATGAGGCCACATTGAAAGAGGAAATCGATAGCTGCCCTAACGAAATTCAGCTACATTTATAAAAAATGGTTATGAAAAGAGTGTTTATTTGCTTGTGGAACTGAAGAGGTCATTTATTTGATCTGCTATTTCATACAGACCCCTGTAATAAAAAAGCATAACAATCTAAAGGGGAATTTGTATTTTCATTTATAATAGTGTGCTTAGTTAGTGGACAAAGACCTTCATTAATACAGGTGCCATTATACATTACTGTATAGATTTCCTCTGAATGCATTTTTTTCATGATCCGATTAATAGAATGATAAGCATAATGATCGCACCCTTTGCACATGATTTGCAATTCCTCAGTAGCTATCGATTCTTGTGTCTCGTAATTATTTTTTGTTGGAGAAAATTTACTAGGATGCATGTTTCCTTAGATCGGTCTCATGCTCACATGCTCAAATTTTGGAAGCCTTATTTAAAATTATTGACGAAGGCCCTTCCAGGTTAAACCAAAAAATGATGATATTGTCAAAGGTAATAATGTACGTTTGTTTTAAAGCGCTGCTTCCGGAAGCACCAGGCCTAAAGCATACAGTGGCGAAAAGATGTGACAGGTAAAGTTTTCATTGCATTGGTCTTTGTCCACAATACCGTATCATACCAGCGTACCGTATTCAGTACGATAAACAACATCAGATCAATCTCATTATATACTAGTCGCCACCGTGCATGGTACCCTTTGTTGAACGTTGCGTTTCAGTACACCTGTTGATAGGCATTTCTTTTTTGCTGGAGATAGTTGATACTAAGGTATTATTTTGATAAAAAAACAGACAAAAGAGTCTTATAGTCCACAGTACATAACCCATCCAATTGAACGATTAATATACAGCGTGTTCGCAAAGTTAGGGTTTTCCTTTTCAAACACAACTGCGCTTGATATAACGGAGGAGATGTGTGATGAAACGTGAGCGAACAAGTGAAAAAAATAAAAGAAAAAGTACTGACTGTTCAGTTAAATTGAAATTCCAAGTACGGCTCTGTCGTAAACTCCGTATTTACATCCTGGTCGTACGTCATATATGACTACACTGGCGCTGGCGCTGTGGACGTGATCGAGGGATAGGACAGAACCGGCTTCGGTTTGGTTCAAGTTTGATTGAGTTTGCGGAGCCCAATATCTCGGCTCTCTTAACCCAGATATACCCAAAGTTATCATGACTCTGACTTCTTCATAGTTTTACATTTACGGGGCATTAATAGTATACAAGAACACAACTAAAACTTCTGAAACTGATTTTTTCGTAAAAAAAGTTGTTTTTGAAGGCGTCCTATGTATAGGACAATGTTACTTGCTATGCTGCATTAAAATCATTTGGGCTTAGTATGATACGTAAAAAACACTAAACTTGCAACCCTTTGCCAGATTTTTGACAGCGGGTTTTTTTTTTTTTTTTTTTGATGACGAGCCACATCTTGTTTGCTTTTCTTGTGGTCCAGTGGTCCAGACGGTCCAAATTTTGGAATTAAGATGTGTGTCCCATCTGATACACACGTTATTTTTTATTTTTAACCAGCTAAAATTTACAATGTCTCTTCTCAAAGTTAAGTGGTCCATTATTCCGCCTCATTTTTTATGAATTTGCCAGGAATTCTGCACTGTCATATCTATGCAGTTATAAGTGGAAAATACCACCTTTTCCTCTTATGGCGGTACGATAGAGACTTATATTTTGGTAAGAACGGTCAACCCCTCCCATGTTCCTATTATCTAATTGGACCACAACAACTGAGGGTAATTCAGAAAAAGTGGCTGTAGTATATTAGCCCAACGTACTTTATTTAGAACGGATAAATTTTCTCGTAAACTGTGAGCTTGCCCCTCCTTGCAATCATCGGTTTCCTTGCCCGACATATATTAATCGTAAAACATAAAAAATTTCATTTAGACTAAGTAGTCCAAAAATATAGGATGCAATTTGTCGGACTCTATGACCATCTGACAACATAAATAATTACTAATCAAGTATCCGAAATTGAACTAAATATATGTTGGAAATCATGTTTGAGACGTCGGACAAGCCTACTGTAGTAGTATTTTAGTCGGCCAACATTTTCCTCGAAATTCTTTTAGCATCAGCTTAGATATGCATTAAAATTAAATAATTGTTTATTACATAACAATAAGTCACGAGTTCGAAGAGTTTCGAAATTTTTCATTCAAAAAGAGAGCAGTTCTGGTAAAAACTTTGTCGGAATCACCAAAAGGAACCTGCGTGCAACGTTTTAAGTATATATTAATCATTCAATAGAATAATGTATTGTGGATTTTTGTCCTCCAAAAACTGCTAGCTCCTCCATCCATTTCAATGTCTGTAATCTATCTATTGATATCGACCTTACAAAGTGTGGCATCACCAGCAGAATTACGCTAAGTGCACTACACAATCCAAGTTTACGTACGGTATAATGGGCAAAGACCTTTATCATTATTGTTTAACTATTTAGCGCTGTCGCACATGTTTCTGACAGTGTCCTGCATTAACTAACCCGACTAACCACATCATACATCGTGAAACTATAAAAAATAACTGCACTTAAATGGACACCATACAATAGGGAAGTTAAACAGGCCTATACAATTCTTCTTTGCCTCATCGGTAATTACTGTCCATCTGACAACGTTGCTCCTTCCCATATTGTGAGGTGTGGCAGCGTAGGTGCTTTGATAGGTCAAAGCACCGCCGCAGTACAATTAAGTGAACCGTTACGCCCATCTCTAATCCCGAATAGCTAAAAGAGGCGCGCATTTGATGCGTCTCCCTGTTGCGGCTACCATATCTTGGAAGAAATGTACTTCTGGTGGAGAAGCAGGTTGGCTTCGATGTTGGTAAGCCTGACGAAAGCTTCTGCTTTCGAATACAACGCACTCTCTTCCAGCTACCTGTTGTTCTCCGTAGGATGAGCGTCGTTAGTGCATCCTTAGCGTCACTCTTCTTTGATGATTTTGTATGCCTTTGACCACAAGAACAGTTGGTGGCCGGTCGGCCTTGTCTGCTCCGGGCTTATGTGAATGCATCTTGGGGCCATTGGGAAACAATTCATCTGCAGAAACTAACATCGCACTTAGTGGCTGACCTCTGTATCGCACCGCATGCGGTGACATGCAACGGACGATCCTTCGGGTTGTTGAGTTGCCGGATTGGCTTTCCATACCAGTAGATGGTATTGGAACCATAATGAAAACATATACGACCTGAAGGGTAATGAAACTGGGGAGGGAAGGTGACAAGTTACTACAATGCCTAAAGAGAGATAAACTCTCTAGCCACGGAAGTTTAGTTGAGGAGTGGTACCTCTTTCAACGTAGAGAGAATGACCCAAGAACTATCACCAATTATGGACCTTCGGGATCACCTTGAGCAAAAGGTGGAAGCTGCTCCTTGGGAGGCAAGGAGTTTGGGTCTCCGATTGATCTGCTAGTTCCAGATGATGTGTTCTAGTCTGGGATCACACCGTAAGTTCGCAGATCAGCAGGGCTATTACGTAAACAACCTACATAACGGAAAAGAAATTGACTAAGTAGATCAATGTGTGTATAGTTCATAGTTCATTCCGCGCTTGCTACAAATGAGCATGAAGTTCCAAGTTGACGTCTTGTTGAAAAACCAACATAATGTCAAAAAAACGGCATATTGCCAAATGGAGTTTCGTTTAGATCGGTGAGGTAAATTTGGGTATATTCCCATAAAATAACCTTCGAACAAGCCTCGTGTATTGCCTGATACCCTAGTGATATTGGCTGGGAAACAGGTGCTTTTGGATAAACACTATTTGATGAGTTAACCCCGTTTTTGGTGTGGTTACTCAGAAGTATCACATCTACATACCTTTACATTACCAGCAAATGCCCAAACCTGCACTCTGGACAGGCTCTTGACCATAGCTTTGATCAGCTTTTACCGGATTCTTTTGTGTATGTTGTATTTCGAACATGCAAATATTTTTGATTGAATCTGATATTCTATATGTCCATGTTTTAAATACCCCCTGAATAACTTACATCGATAAAACCAAACACTGCAATTATTTCGCAAACTAGGAGATCTTTCGTCGAAAATGATTAGGTTAACCTGCAATATTTGCAAGATAGGCACAAGATGTTAGCCTCCGTCTCAGTTTGCTACGACAGCTTGCTAAGTAATCTAGATTCAGTGTTCCGATCAGCTGCTATAGAACTATTTATTATCTCTCAGGTTTCAACACTAAATTGCTGCTTCAAAATAAATTAATTGGCTGACATTTTTGCTGTTACTGACTGAACGACCTGAACAAGTATTTTTGCTTACTTGCTGTAGCGGCTGGTCTCTATGCCATTCAAATACCTAATTCATTTTACGTTCACAGCAAACAAGGCGTTGGTTGGTGGCGCTGTCCGTAAGTATATTTACTCTTATGTTCCATTAGAGAGTGTATAATATATTTTTTCATCTCAGCCACTAGGTAAAATGCATTTATTCAAGCCATTATAAGTTCTGATCAATATGGGTTCAGAAAACGCAAATCGACTAGAGACGCAATTTTGGCTGCAATGGATGAAATTAACTCTGATGTCTGCAAAAAATATCTGCTATTGGTGTATTTGTTGACCTGAACTACCTTTGATCATGTCGAGCTTCTTAAAGTTATGGAAAGGTTGGGATTTAAGAGAACATCACAAACGCTATTAAAAGCACCTTCAGTAAACAAAATGCACGTCAAGTGTGGTGTTCCTCAAGGAATAGTACTAGACCCACTATTATTTAATTTCTATTCAAGTGACTTATTCAAAATTAATAATACTGGAAAGACTATATGTTTCCAGACGACAGTCTCATATTATATAAGGCTTTTATGAGGATCAAAGTAGTTTGATAGTGAAATTTTAACAGTCAAGGAATAAACAAAATTTATTCCAATTACATCGTATTCAAAAATTTTACCTACCTTCGAACGAAGTTGTGTATCATGGCCAAAATTCAAACATCGATAGAGTCAAAAGTTTAAAACAGTATTTGTAGACTCTCATTTAATGAGATAACGATATACGTTATGAAAAAAAAAACATAAATTCTGTCTATAACCTCAGAATTCTTGCAAAAATTCTTACAGAAAGTACTCCAAATACTGTGCTGTGCATTAGTTGAAATCCATACAACAGACGGCATCACAGCCTGCAAAACAATTCGTATAAGGAAACGGGGATACTTGATGGTAGCCAACTTTGTTTCTTACATGCCACCATCTTAGATCATATCATAAACATTCTAATGAACAAAATTCCCATAAAGCGGAGCATGACACACGATTTCGAACAGGCTAATCAACTATCCAAATACTACACAAAACATTAGACAAAAACTCATTCAAATTCTTAGCAGCTAAATTATATAACTAATACAATAAAGAAATGAGGGCACTTGACAGAAAATAGTTTAGATAAAAGTTGAGTGTGTACTGAATCACCATACACAATTAGAATAAAAAACTAGAACTGTAAAATTCAAAATTATGTAAATTAATTATATTTGTTATACGCCAATTTTCAAATAGTTTTGTATTTTGACATATAAGTATTATAATTACAATAGGGCGCAATAACAAAGTAAAAGCTTGCGAATATCTTCCCACTGCATTCATGAATTTACTTTCTCGACGAAACTTACTTTACCTGAAGTATATTATCAAACGTATTGTACACTGTTTGTGTGGAAAGTCAATAATAGGATTTTTCAACATATACGGTAAAAATTTACGCGTTTGTGCGTGTGCGTTAAACGTAGTCAAAACTTTTATGAAGAATCTAGCCTTAATAATAGTTAACTATTAATAATTCAGAAGTATCTTCATCTTTAACATATGCTCTCGGAGGCTCCTTAACATCTGCCTGTTGTAGTTCTAGTTAAAATTGCGAAGATTACAGGCAGAATCATATAACTATAATAAAATTTCTTTGGGCAGGCGCGGTGTTCCGGCATTTAGGCTTCTGCCTACGCGGCTGCTTCGATATAAAAAAAACTATGATTTCAGCTTTAATTTAGATACCCACAACTGATATGTGTCTCTTCTTTTTCCTTACAGCACCACTTGCTGACGCATAAGGTGATGGGACAGGTAAGAACTCAGATATCTTGCCAAGGATTGGGTTTTGTGGCGTTGTGGAAGCTTCTTATGTTCCATATGAACTTTACGTACAAACTTGGCAACCTGGCAAAATAGAGGTAGTAATAATGTATTAAGGCGAGAATACACATGCTTGTTACACGCACAGAAGCATGCCAGTTACTGGATTGTGCGTGCTACTTGCATGTGTGACTTTCTTTGCCAGCAAGAAAGCACGCTAGAAGATAGCACGCCAGTAGATCGCAAGACGTTTGATTTTTGTGTGCCAGTAGCAGGATT